CCCGTTCACCTGTACCACAGCACTGGGGGAGCGATACAGGGGGGCTAATCCAGCGGCAGAAGTCGGGTGCGAATCCGGCGGCCTGCTGGACAGCAGCAAGGTAGCGATGGTCAACCTTATCAAATGCCTTGGACTGATCTAAATTGATCAGTGCAGCCTCATAGTCGTCTTTTACACCCTCTATGATCGTGCGGATCAGATGCAGGTTGCTCCTAATTGCTCGGCCCCTCACAGAATAAGTCTGATCAGGATCCAACAGAGACTCGGCAACTGACTGCAAACGCTCCTTCAGGATCTTGGCTAAAATATTTAACTCTGTGTTTAGCAGAGTTATGGGCCTGTATCATCTAGTTTTCCCTCAACACCCTTTCCCTTTTTCAACAGCGTGATCACACCCCTGGAGAAACCTGTGGGGGAGGGCCCCCTGCCGGAACCAGTTGTTGAACAGGACAGTCAAAATCGGAACAAAGATGTGCGACAGCCTCAAGTACAATTAATAGGGCAAACAATCCAGACCGGGCGATTTGCCTCTGCCGACCTTCTTCAATGCCGCGTAGACCTTGCCGTCCGTGATCTCTCCCTCGTAGCTAGCTGCTTTAGTCTTCGAAAACCGAGGAAAGTCAGCCAAATAGCTGTGAAACTCGTCCTCACGAAGACCAGGCTCCTTTGTAAAGGGACTCTCGAAATGTCGCCGAAACGCCTCGCACATGTCGTCAGTGGCCCGAAGAGTATGCCCCTCCGGTGTTTTGACTTCACGAATGTAACGATCGGAACCTCGACGGATTTCTTCCTTGCGCAAGTCTGCGCCTATGTTCACAGCTTCGGAAGACATCTTGCTTAACCTATGTCTAATTACCTGGCCCATGTAGCGCTCGCTATTCGGACGCTCCACGGCCTCCCTAGCTGAGTCTATCTCTAGGGGATCCCCCCAGCTACCGCCCGGTAAAGACTAGCCTTAAGCATCTTCACCTTATCAGCTCTATTTAGAGCGAGCCGTTTGCTGAAATCCGTGGTGAAAGACCTAATCCTATACTTAAGTCTACCCTACCACTTATTACCGATAATCGCCCCCACTACACTAAGGTAGTTAGCTGGTCCTGGAAGTCTCGCCTGTCCAGTAAAGACAGATTGAACTTCCAGTAACCAGCCATTCTAGGCTTACGATCTAACGCCATCCGGGCACAAACAAGTTTGTGGTTCGAATAGCCTACCCAGTAGAACGTAGGACAATCTAACAAGTCAACGTCGGCTCCTCTAACTAACATTCTGTCCAGGTAGCTAACCATGTCCAGTTATGAGCCCAAGTCCACATCTTCCAACCAGGGTGATCGACCCGGTATCTATAAATGAGATTAAATTCGTTGATCAGATCAACCAAGCTACGATCGCCCCTACACCCGCTTGCACCACGCCCCCGATCTAACTTGGGGTCCAGGATGGCATTCCAGTTGTCCATTAAGTCTAGGCGCGTTGAATCAACCAGGAACGGCCCCAACCGCCAAAAAAAATGAGACCCGCTCCTCCTAGTCGTTGGGCGCATAAACCGCAACAACCCGGAACGAACCACTTTTCACGACAATATTAGCCACGATCAACCGGCCCTCGGCATCGGTATGCACAAGGTCCACCTTCGTATCAAGAGTCCACTTCACCAGCAAAGAAACTCCTCTGGCATGCCGATCCCCATAGGCTGAATAAACGACAAAGTCGCTCTCCAGCACACTCGCATCGACGCTGCAAACAAAGTGGATCTCTTCGATCGCGGCGAAATCCATGCCGAAAGACAAGAGATCCCGAAGTAGGCGGGCTGCCTTACCCCGATTCCTCAAGCCCTTCACATCCAAACTGGGTAACTTGATAGACATCTTTTGAGTATGAAACGATAGAAAAAGAGAACAAAATTCACCTATTCACATACAGGGCGGATATCTGCGTTTGTGAGGACCCCGACAGATTGTCCCAGGCTCCATACACCCAACTCTAACGTCATCCGTCCTTCCAGGACAATTCCGCCGACATCCGTGGGATACGTTAGTTTTATACACATATATAGTGATGGATGGATCAAAACAGGGACCCTCCCAGCTCAATACTGTCTAAGCATTTATTTTTAGGTAAGGAGACCCTATCTCCACCATTCGGATGTTTGGAAATGCTTCTTTAGCTTCATCCAAATGATCCCACACTTTTAAGTATGCCCCAGTATCTCTTATACAGGTAATTACGCTTGGGGCACTGGGGAAGTTGCGGGGACCTTCGATTTTCTTCCTGTCTACCTTGTGCATTCTAAATAGCAATTCCAATTTTGCATTTTTCTGGCTAGACTGGCCCCTCCTAAAATCGTCCCTGTCTACCCTGCAGATCGCTTCCGGACCTGAGAACAGTTTTTTCTTCTTTTTTCTTTTCTCCCGAGATGGGTGGGGAGGGGAAGAGGTGGACGTGTGAGGGGGTGTGGATAGTGACCTGAGGGAAGAATTAGAGGGAGATGGGGATAGGGCATGTGAAGGAGAGGAAGGGAGGCTCCTTGCTTTGGTTACAACCTCGGTTTCTTTAGGGGTAGCAGGGACGGATATGGACCTGGTTTTGTCCATGACCCCACCCGACCTACTACGCCCAGAGTGCTTTTGAATTGGCGTCTCCTCTTCCTCTACCTCCTCTCTACCTCTCTTAAGTGATGACGCCCGGGTTGGAGGCATTTTATCCACCTCCATTTCTGTCTCATTACGTTGATGTTTTCGTTCTGGGCTGTTTTGCTTTTTAGGTGTCTGTTCTTTTTGTTTGTTGGGTTTCTTTTGTTGTTGTTGCTGTTGTGGGTGCTGCTGCTTCTGCTTGGTTTAAACCTTTTCCTTCGCCCCTTTCTGGCTTTTCGGGCTGGGTTTGTTGTTCCTTCTGTGGGACCGTCTCTTGAGGGATAGGTGTAGGCGATTGTTTTTCTTTTTTGGCCACTCCCCTCCACTCACCGTTAAGCTGTTTGCTAGACACATCGGCCTTTTCTGTTGTTGCTACTGGGTTAGGCTGCGGTACTGCTTTTTCCCCAGGATACACTTTAGACATATGTCCTAAAGTACCACACGTCCAACAATAAGGACACCTGTCTTCCACAATTATCGGCATCATTTTATTCCGTTATTTAAGAATATTTGGAATGTCTTGGAAACTTTAACTTGTCAGTTATATATAAAACAAAATCGCCACTGGCGATTCCTGTTTTGCTCATAATAGCAGAGACTTCCTCGACTGGTCCATATTGGCCGAAAAAGGCACCCAACCTTATCTTGGGTAATGTCGACGGGGACTCCATGAACCGTTATTTTCGTTCATCTCGTCCCCATGTACTCAGTCTGTAAACGGACTGACTTTTTTGTCAAGGTGCTTCCAGCCAACCTTTAGCTTCTTCTTCTGTTGCCAGAAGAATGTCTCATAATGCGTTGGACGTTCTTGCTAGAGGTTTTGGTCCAATCTGTAGGCTTTTCAGGGCCTCTTCCATTGTGTCCCTGCTGACGCCAATAGGCTTTCGAGTTCCTACATCGGTGGTCAGCAGGGAAATAGTTCTAGTTTTAACATCATCGATTGCTTCCTGTATGGTTAACAACTCGTTGCCGTTCACATATTTGTCGTATTTACTCCTCAGACTATTATAGTAATCTGAGTCTTTCTAGGTCCTTTTTTCAGACCAGGCCGGAGATGGTAAAATTGGCTCTTGCCTCGTTTGTGCCTCCGAACCGTCGGAGGCCAAAAAAAGGTTTGCTTTTTTCTTTCTTTCTCTCACTTTTTAAAAAAAAAATAAACTGAATAAAGTCTTGCGACTTGGAAGTCGCGGAAAGGTAACAAATTAAACGTCAGAAAAAGAAAGAAAATGTAGAAAATAAATTTAAAATTTCAAACTTGGCCAAACAAAATAAAACGACGGAGAGAAAGAAATTTAAGTTTGCACAAACCAAAAATAAACGCAAATATATATTAAATGAAAAAAAGAAAATTGAAATTAATAGTCAAAAACAAATTTTACAGCTTTCACAAAAAGAACAAAAAAGGAAACAAAAATAAAAGGCTTAACTGAACAACAATCAAAAGTTCCTCGCTGGACAAACTTACAACTCGTCAAAGTTCAATAAATCAAAATGACTGCGTGTCGACTGTCCACAGGAAGTCACACATGTTAGTATTTATGAAAGGGGGAAGAGTTCCTTCTACTATAGCTGGGTTAATACAACAGTAGGGAGACCCTGTTGTTATAGATGTAATGAGTTGGTCGGTCAACTTGACACCCGCAAAGTGAGTGGAGGTGGGCAGGCGCCGGAACTGTGATTGGTGGCTGGCTTGTTGTTGTTTTGCATAGGTGAGTTACCAAGCTCTATGTAAAGAGCTGGAATGAGAAGGAGGGCAGTTTTTTTTTCAGTCTCAGAAGTGGAGACAGCAGGAGAGAAAGAGACGAAATCATTTATTTTTTTCGTGACACATTCCAACACAAGCTATTTCGGCATTTACTTTGTCTCTCGCAAGATGGCGGAAAGACCGTTCGACATAAAACTGATCTCCAAATTCAGTGGTGATACGAGTGGACAGTCTGTGGTTGAATGGATCGAAAAGGTGGGACTGGTCTGCGAATTATGCGAGATCACGAAGATTGAACGGATTCTTCCACTGCGATTGAAAGGCGGTGCCCTTGCTGTGTATAGGCAGCTGAGCAAAGAACAGAAAAGTGACATTGAGCAAATAAAGCGCGCTCTACTAACCGCGTTTGGAACTGACCGGTTCGTGGCCTATGACCAATTCCAGGCGCGGCGTCTACGACCTGGCGAGTTGATGGCGTGCCTCGTCATGTTATAGACTTGCGGCCAGTTTTAGGGTTAAAACCGTCATCAGATGATGAAAGTAACTCTGAAGATGGTGCGTGAGTGGTGTATTTAAAGTCGGATCCACTGAGTTCTACCTCAAACATCAGTACTCTACCTACGGACGTCAACGTGGCCAGCTGTCCAGAGGCGGATGATAGCTCAATGGATGAGAGTTCATCCGAGGATGAGGACCCTGTCATTCCTCTCAGAAGGAGTGCCCGGCAGAAGAGGCCTGCCCCGAGTTGCACGGTGTGCGATCATGACAGCGAGACACGGGATGAATCTGGAAATCTGCCACCTCGGAGCAAACGACTTCGCGCATGTGTGGTTATCCCAATATGTCAAGCGTGCAAGTTGTATATATGCGGATGCAGTCACCAGACAGACGCAACCATCTCTCGAACTGAGAAGCTTTGTGATCTTAAGATCAGGGGGGGGGCGTGTAATGAGTTGGTCGGTCAACTTGACACCCCCAAAGTGAGTGGAGGTGGGCAGGCGCGGGAACTGTGATTGGTAGGTGGCTTGTTGGTGTTTTGCATAGGTGAGTTACCAAGCTCTATGTAAAGAGCTGGAATGAGAAGGAGGGCAGTTTTTTTTTCAGTCTCAGAAGTGGAGACAGCAGGAGAGAAAGAGACGAAATCATTTATTTTTTCGTGACACATTCCAACATAGATAGATATATGCATTTTTACAATTGAAAAAGGCACGTTCTTAGGGGTGATGAATGTTTTTATACCTTACATTATACATTGATTCAGATATTCGAGAGTTTGGTCCAAAACACAGATTTTAAACAAACCAATGCATGTAACATCGAATGTGGTTTGGGAAACTAGTTTACTAACGATAACTATAAGCTAAGACGTCATAAATATTAGTCAATCGCAATTAATCTGGTGAGAATTGGACTCAATCATGGTCTGCTAGTTTATATAAATATGTTAATCTTGTTGACAATAATATGTGAACTATCCCATCCTACCAATTCCAATACTAACCACTCTGCATAAAAGCCGTCTCATCGCTAACAACTCAATTTAGGTGAATAAAGCTTCTTAATTTCATATTTGGTGTTGTCTATTCATTACAATGGGTAGCTTAGATTAGTCTGTTGCAAGACGAAAAATGTGGATTATCCAGCGAATATCGGATTCACCACAATCGTAACAGCTTGCGAAACGAGTTTATTTAGTTTCTAAGAATTTTGATGTTCCTGCTGATTATTTCATAAGCAAAAGCTGATTGATTAAACTTTATTGTTTGTCATATATATGTGACAGCTTGATATATTAAGATACTAGATAACCAAAAAGCGTCATACTCATAGATTCACCCACAGACATTCGGTGTTTGTATTCATCCAATATCCGCGAACCCACTATTTTTGGAGAGTTACAGAGAGCAAGTTAGAGAAATCTCAAGTAAAGTATGAAGTACGAGAAAGTGATCAAAGCTGTTGGTGGATGTGGGCGCTACCAAATATTTATCCTCAATCTATTGTATATCGCTACTATGTTTAATGGGTTACAAATCGGCTGTATGGTTTTCCTCGTTCCTGACATAAAACACAGGTAAAATAATTTTCAGTTTATACATTTATTGTGCCATTTTCGATGAGGCTATGACTTTAATCACATCGGGTAAAATTTATAGTGGAAGTTTTCAATTAGTGTGCATCTAATGTTAAAGCTGTTGCTTTGGATCTACTATGTGAAGTTTAAATCGTCATATGAAAGTCGGAATCATAAAAATGAACGAATTTATAAATATTTTCTGTTTTTATCGATGCATAAATATTCGTACATTGAAACATTCTCTAAAAAAGAGTACATCATTATGTAAAAATGGGTCCAAACTTGATAAAAAATAAAGTTTTATCGTTAAAATGATTGTGCTACAAAATTTCGAGAAATTAAAAAATAAAATTCATATTTATATTAGTTAAAAGCGGGACAACCTGGAGAATTGTAATCATTAATTTGCTTTCGTTAAACGGAAACCCCAATTATCGAAAATCTGAAAAATAAAAAATGCAATAAAAATATGATATTATTTAATTAGAAATACTTTTAATTAATTTTATAAATAAGATTATTAAGGACAGTTTTTCTTAAGAAAAATTTGATAAGTGATGAATTTTTATAAGAATTATTTTCATTTTTTAAAATTGTAAAAAGAAATGATTAAGTTTTTAAAATTGTGTATCAAATTCAGCTTTTTAGCTTATATTATTATTAAGTGAAAACTATATTTACTAATCATAAATGGAAAAGCTTAATACAATTCATCAAACAGCAATATTTTTAAAAGAATTTTGAAATTTTGTATGTGTATAAACGTGCCCATTTTTGCATGTACGGACAACCCTTTAAAAATATCTCTTACAAAGCTAACAGTCCTGTCAGTTCGTTATCATTTTCTGCAACATTGGCCGTGTTCCCTGACTGTCTTTCAAAAACTATTATAAAAATTAAAATTAACGGAGTTCTCTTCAACACATTATTAGACACTGGCAATTCGGAAAAATATATCAGAGACAGTCTAGTAAAAATTCACAAATGGCATTATGTTCCTTCCCCCAAGTGAGAAACAATGGCGAACGCACGTAAATGGATATTGTTTCTTTGATAATGAAAGACCTTTGTTGTGAGGTAATACTGGGCCACGATTTTTTTCTGCAACACTCTAGCATAGAATTCCCGTTTGACGGAGAAAAACCTGTATTAAAGATTTGCGCAGTGACTGTAGCCAACATTCCGTACCCGTCATTTTTTGAAAACCTGTCAAAGGACTGTAACCCGACGTTATTCGCTTGACGACAAACAATTTATAGTGTCCGAAATAAAAAGAATGCTTCAAGAAGGAATAATCGTGCCAAGAACGTCACCATGGAAGGCCCAAGTATTAATATTAAACAAGGAAAACCGAAAAAAAAGAAAAGAATGGTCATCGATTACTCTCAGACAATTAACCGGTTCACTCTTCTGGACGCTTTTCGACGAAATGCTATGTGAAATAAGTAAATATAGTATTTTAAGCATGTTAGATGTGAAAAGTGCTTATCATCAGGTGGCCATTAAGCCAAAAGACAGACCCTACACTGCATTTGGAGCACTTGGCCGGCTGTACCAGTCCCAGTGGATACCTTTTAGGGTAACTAATGAAGTAGCCAGTTTTCAAAGAATAATCGACAAAATCATAATGGATGAAAAACTGGAAAGTACTTTGCTTATATAACTATATATGGCTACAGGCAGAAGGCCGCCGACGAAAACCATCGACGGTTCATGTAGGCCGTAAGCAAATATAAATTTATATTAAATAATGACAAATGCTCGTTTGGGCAACATAAAATCAATCTTTTGGGTTATGCAATAATGAACGGGTCAATGGCGCCGAACTCAGGATGATTAAAACTTTTGCTCAGATTGCCAAGTCCCAGATAACATACGTGCGCTGTGACAAACTTTCTCAGAGAAGATACGTCCATTAATACAAGTAAGATCTTTTCACTTATCTCACCAAGCAATAGAAACATTCGAAAACTCAAGCAAGACATTGAAAAATCCATAATCACAACTATAGATATTTTTGTCCCACTGTAGCCTTCTTTTCAAGGATTCTCTCTCAATCTGAACGGAGGCACACAGCGATTGAAAAAGAAGCCTACGCCATAGTTGAGGCATTAAGAAAGTGAAGACACTATTTCTCCGGGCGTTACTTCAGATTAGTTACAGACCAAAAAATCTATCTCGTTCATGTTCAACTAAATGGCTACCAGTAAAATAAAAAGTGAAAAATAGTAAGGTGGAGAACTGAACTATCTTGTTTCTCGTTCGATATTACTTACCGGCCCGACAAGTAGACTTAAAATTACTTTTTGACCTGCTTCGGCTTACGGCCACATCACATTGAAATACTGTACGATCACCGAAGTTAAGCAATGTCGAGTTTGTTCAGTATCTAGATGAGTGATCGTTGGGGAATACGAGATGCTGTAAGCTTGGATGTGTGGAACGGTAGTAGATAATGGCTCAAAATAGCTAACTGGAGAGCCAGCTATGAGTTAATTAGTAAGACATGTATAACTAAACCATTATTATCTTTAAAAAGTATTACAATCTAAAATATCTTCTGTATTTAAATAACCTGAAAAAGTTGATAAGCCGTAGAAAACGAGTCAATCATTCAATCAATTTCTGACCAACATTTGTTTTATAGTCACATATATAACAATGATCTAGGACAACCGACAAATATTATTTCTTGTTATTTCCACTTAATTAAACAAAGAACAACTAAAACACTTAATAGACACAGCTCGTCGCTAGATATGGGTTATGCTTCTTAGAACTATGTGGTACACCACTGATTTTGTTGATTTGTTCTTGAGTTTATTTTTTATCAGACCCAATGCACCAACAATAGCAGTAACAGTTTTAGGTTTTAAGTGCCACAGTTTTTCTATTGCCATCTTCAAATCTTTGTATTTTCCTTGTTTTTCAAAAGTATGTTTTGTCATTTAGTACACTCATATCGATCAATGCGCAAATTTTATCTGTTTTTAATAATAATGTCTGGGAGAATTACTTGTAATGTTTGATCTGCGTTGATGAAAAAAATACCTGGCGATGATAACATCTGTTCACTCAACTATAGACTCATTATGATATTCATACCAGCTGCAGCTGCTTTTATACCGTAGTGAAGACATATCCCATTGAAGATATTAACCTAACCAGTCATGAAATTTGTTTTACTCATTGGGTGTCATTATTGAAAATCCTGAGATAAGGTGAATAATAGTTTCAATTTGCTTGTCAAATAACTTACATATTAAGTTCGTACTATTATGCAAGATATTAGCTTGGTATTTCCGTGTAAGGAGGCTGTGGTCATGCGCAGCAAGAATAATCACTTCAGTTTCATCCTTAAGTCCTGTACAGCTTAGTCACTGATAGATTACTAATTGATCTACATGAACATTTTTCGGAGAAAGAAGTAGCTATGTTAAAGCTACTTGTTTCAGACTTTTTAATGATTTTGTGGCAACCACTATTTTCAAGATTTAATCCAAATTCTTTTGCATATTTATAGGGTACTTTAGGTAATACAGAATAAAGCTTTTTACTTTGTTTCATCTTCCATTACGAATAACATTAAATCTTGTATAGCTGTGAAATACTTAAAGTCCCATTGTTAAAATTTTGCAAGATAATTCCAGATGAATTATGGTTCTACCTCCACTGCTGTTTGGCAAATACAGACGGTCAACATTTGCCTTAGGTTGTGGCATTATATTGCATGTGAGTTTGCGGATTTTTAATCAGTTTTACTGAGTTACTTTAACTTCCAATTTATTAATGTTCAAGGTATAAGTATAGGATAGAAAGATTGTTATTCGGCATTATTATTGTTGTGGATTCCGAGATGAAATCCGGTACCAATAAATAACAAACGCCAAGAACGAATATAGGAAAACAAAGGTATTAATGTAATAATACTAACTGGTAATTCAGGTCAGTAGTTCCAGGAATGCGGGTTAGTAGCAATATATATATATATAGTCTTTGGTATCGATGTATCACTGTATGACTTCTTACTGAGTCTACGTGGTTGCTCACTGTGACTCTTGCTCGTTACGTTCGTGCTCGTTCGTCCTTCTTTCCCGTTCTTCCCCCGGGTATTCACTAGCAGTAGTATATGTATACCCTGGGTGAGTCCATTTGTGTAAAAAGGCTGAGAACCCATCAGCAATGATATTTTTCGAATTCAATTCCGTTTTCATTATTACTCGCACTCACCTGATGCAATCCATTCTGATTGTTTCTTTTATTTTCGAATGCTGTATAACATTGTTTTCATTCACAGCCAGGTATTTGTAAGCACCTTCCTAGTTGAGTTCCTTAAACACAGTATTTCCCTCAAGAATGATCTCGCTACTAATAAGCTTTCTTCACTTGAAGCTAGCCTTTGCAAATGTATCTAACCTACTTTCCATACATACATCATCGCTGAAGCTTGTTTTTTTTACAATTTTTAGAAGCCCTTCTAATTCATCATAATTTCTTGCATGTAATTTCAAGTCATCCATATATCGATTATTTATCATTTTATCTTTGATCTTATCCCCATACCCTGTATTATTTAGATAAAGGAATTCATTCCAGACAAAAAAGAAGCAGAAATACATTCCACGTTTAATTTTCATATCTTTACTTAATAGTACACTATTAGAATGCGAAAGTTCAGACTTGCTGTGGTTTTTGTGATTATTTTTAAGAATAATTCTATTTATAAGCATCTAACCATTGCAGCCGTAGCAGTCCCTATGCCATTTCTCATCTAAACATCATCATTTAAACGCTTGTGAAGTTTCATCTGAATGTACATTAAATCTGTTGTTTTTTTTCTTTTAGAAATAAGCGAGTTTATGTTCAGGTATTTTCATAGCGTGCTTCAAGGAGGAAATAACTGTCGTCATCTCCTGACGTTGTTGCGTTTTGTAATTCAAACTCACCGATTTTTATATTTTTCTGCAAGACCCTTAAACAGGTCACTCTATTTTATAGATCTAATCGCTTTTGTATAATATGTGGCAAATCTGTGAATTCAGAATAGCTATTTCATTTGCGCACACATCCCAGAATTTTAGCAAGCTTTACCAAGAATCAAGCATTTACTTACCTGAAAAATATGTTCACATTGCCTGTGTTATTGCGAAATGCAATCTTTAATCTGTAGAAAGCAGGATTAATTTACAGGCTTAATTCCAATTCACGCACATGATTTTTCAATGCACAGGATTCGTTCAATACCTTTTCGCTGAAATAAAGATTATGTCACTACATAATTTCATTGGTTATTTTAACATATTCATAGTCGATTATCTGTTATAGAATTTAATTTAGCAAATAGTAATATTGGCTTTAAATTTGTAATAATTTAAGATTATATGTTTGTTACTAGACTGATAACTACCGTGTGCTCAGAATCTAGTTTAGTATTTTTTCTAGGCGTTATCAAATGAGATTTTAAATATTGTTTTACTTTTAACTCGTCTACATTCATGAATTCTTGTAAAATTAACTACTGACATATTTACTTTTTACTACTTTTACTACGTTAGAAACGTGCCATAAAATTTGTTTAAAGTTATCAATAAAAACAGACGCAATCTGATTTGTCTTAAAATTTCCGTCAAACCGTTTAATGAAGCCAAGTTTTTTTTTAAAACAGGTTTTCTAATTAACCATTCTAAACTAGCACAAAAGAAACATCGTAGTTTGAAAGAAATACATCTGACTTTAAACGTACTTCAGTTGATCAGGTTTCACAGTTGTATCATCAAAATCTTTTGTAGTTTCTCTAAGAATTAAAGAAGCTAATAAACCATAGTCAACAGACGAAGACTTGATGTTACACTGCTGCAAAGATATTGCAGGCTGTATGTTGGGATAAACTGAATATTCTGTCGCTGTCAAATGATGCTGACGAATTTGCAGACATATCATCCGATTTCCAGATAGACGTATACGCATAAAGCTTAAATAATTGCTATTAACAAAAAAAGAATTATTCTTTTGTCATCTCATAGAGAGGACAACGAAAGTAGAACACATTTATGTAAGTATGAAACACATTTATAAAAGTAGAACACATATACTAATGCCACAGCAAAAGGTTTTTCCTGCAAGACACTAATTGGATACTACACCGTTGGAACCCTTGCAATACAATATTTCTTAGCATGAGCATCAAATGTCAATCCAGATCTAAATAAACTGCACTTCATGATTCATAGGTATGAATCCAGAGGTATTTTTTTTATAATTGTAGGATTTTTTAATGTCTCATTTGCCAAATATATTTCTGACATCTTTCCTAAACAATAATGTAGATGACCATGGAAAAATGATTTTTGTAAAATGCTCATTAATGTTGCTTAATTTCGATAACATATTTTAAACTGTTTTATATTTTTCTAGTTTAATTTAGTTTGTGGCAAGGAATGGCTCGCTCATCAGATCTATACCGTATTTTTTGTTGGTGATTTTATTTCCCTGCTATTTTGTGGTTGGCTACCTGATAGGTAAGTATACATTCAGAGAATATTCATTTCGTATTATTTATGTATCTCATAACTCAAAACTACCTCTGCCGGGGGTTAGGTGTATTTTGAAAATATGAGGATGGGGAGGCCCAAACAGTGCTTCAGGGATGATCCTAAACATTTGCACAGAATTAACATTCATTTGATTCCAAAATACATTTTTTAGGTAAATTACCAATATCAATAATGAAAAACTCAAAAAAAAAAATCTTCCTCTGTCTAAAGATTTTTCATTAAAGACTAACAACCAAACAAGAGGCACGGTGGAGTAATGTTTAGCGGCTCGGATTGAGGAATTGTAGAGCCGAGTTGGAATTGCGGTCGAATCCTTTACATTCACTTACGTACTAATACTTTTGGGAAAGTTATGAATCCTCTTCTTCTCACCCCCCCCAGTTATAAATAGTAGGATAGACCGGGTTTTATAGCTCGTTGCTCGTAACAAGGATCATCTTTCTTCGAACATTGTGAACTGGTGCTACAGAATCAGAAACAAAGAACTGTACCAAAATCAGAGATACAACACATGAGGATATCACATGTAACTTGAAGGCAAAATAAGGATATAATCAAGACGCTGCTGTTATGCAATACTTCAAAGAAAAGGTGACGAAGGAAACCAACATTAATATTGGAAAGGGCAATTGCAATTACTGTACATGAGAAACCTATTTACCTAACAAATTATTTTAATAGAAAGCTTTTATAAATGTCAGTCGCAAGTAGCACTGGCTGTTTAGTCAACGAAAGTCAAATATTTCCTTATAAGAAAACAGCTAATATTACCATTATCCTTACCAATTCTGATGAGGAACTAAGTGAGGATTGTGTTCACTATCTTAGTCATGGTAACCGAGACATATTCTACCATTGTCTTACGACACGAAACACATATTTTTGTATTGATATTGTCTAATTTTGCCGCTGATGGCACGAAGACGCAGATACAGAAAAGCTAAGGGGACTGAATTCATGACTAAAATGATGAAATTTTCTCTAACACCAGCTCGCGAACCCTAATGCTACACGTATTTTATAAAATACAGTTTATTTTTTAACATGTGTAAATTTATATTTTGAAAACATACAAAAAGACCTTCAGTTATTTTTTTTCTAGAATGCATCAACATTATTTACACTATTTACACGCGGACTATTATTTCTTTTTGTTATCATCATGTTTCGCCCGTTGGGTATTCCGGTTTTCATCAGGTGCACATGAATTCGGTTAACCTACAGGGTATTTCAAACTGAGAGATATACACCTGATGAAGGCAGGCGAGAATAACGGCCGAAACGTTAGGATAGCAATAACAAATGAGGACAATACTCCATATGTAAATAGTGTAAATATGGATAACGCCTTATCCCTAGAATTCAGCCAGAAATGTATCAACATAAGTTTGAATATCAAATATTTTCTTTTGGCTTACATGCAACCATTTGACTTTCCCAGATATGGACGAAAGACTGTCATTATTGCTGCGCTCATGCTTGAAGGTGTAACTGGAATTCTGTCTTCGCAAATTATGGACATCAATATGATTCTCCTTCTTCGTTTGTTGACAGCTGTTGAAAGTGCTCTCTCTTATATGCCATCAGTTGTGTTTGGTAAGACATTTTTTCTTTAATTTCAGTCAATGAAAATCTTTCTCGTCTCAAGATTATAATATAGATTATTCCTGTTGCCTGAGTTCTGCCACAAGGAAAACTTACTTGTTACACAGATAAACTGACAAGGAAATAAGTATCTACGCTGACAAAACAATTTACTCTTGCCTCGATAGTAAGGCTTATCAGTCTGACAAGGTCAAAATGGCAGCCGATGTCCAAAAGGTAGTTAACTGGGGCAAAAGATGTATTGTTTAATTTTAATTCCTCCAAAACTAAAATTCTCTCCATTAATCATCTCAAGAGACCTCTCGCTTCCATCCATCAACATGGCTGGTGCTATCCTCTAGGAAAGTGACTTTCTTGGGCTCTCTGCTGATAATAAGCGGAAAGTCTATATTGAATCCATTTCTAGGTCAGCTGCTAAGAAGGTATTTCTACTGTGTCGGGCGAGACATTTTTATTTCCAGAATCAACCTTACATATCTATGTCTACTATTCGTCCATGCTTGGAATATTGCGGCCACATATAGTCCGGTGCTCCTGCTATTTACTTTGAGCTTCTTGGTAAGATCCAAATAAGAATCAAAAATATTATTGGTCCTGATTTCGCGACTAAGCTCCAGTAACTTTCCCACCACCTCAAGGTTTTATATCTTAACCTTTGCTATCAATACTTTCATGGTAATTGTTCGGATGAGCTTTTCGATCTGGTACGTAGCGTTTTTAATTTAAGCGCAGCACTATTCTGGCGTCGAGATGTCAGCAATTTACAGTTTAGCTGGCGAGATGTAACCGTAAATTCTATTCTAAAAGGTTATTTTCTAGCAATTCTCGTTTGTGGAACTCCCTTCTCTTTTCATGCTTTCCAGCCGACATTATTCCGAAAAATTTAAATGCGATCTCAATCACTATCTACTGTCCACCTGATTACACTTTTCTCTTTCTGTTCATCATTAATGTTTCTGTTCCAAATTCTTCCTCGCCGTGTAACCCCTTGTGTTTTATTGGCATTACTGCCTTGCTTTGGCTGATTCAGATAAAAAAAAAGGTTAAAGTGCTTTAATTGCGAAATAATTCCGTGTAAACTTACGTCCATCGTTCTTAAAACATTTCAGTTTTCTTGGCAGATCTATTATCATAATGTGAGATATTTAATAACAAATGTGTTACAAACATAATGAAACTGAATGAAATCGGATAGACAATATACCTAAAAACTTATTAACAAAATTAATTACGAAAATTCGGCGTCCCTTCACATTCATCCGCTTGCTTAATCATATACATAGTGGATAAAACTTTAGTCCGATGAAGTCCTAAACGAAAACAGTCACACATAGTTATTTTTTTTCGATTTTGTTATTGATTTTTCCAATATATATATATATATATATATATATATATATATATATATATATATATATATATATATGTGTGTGTGTGTGTGTGTGTGTGTTTGTGTGTGTGTGTTTGTGTGTGTTTGTGTGTGTGTGTTTGTGTGTGTACAATTTATAGAAAACCAACATTCCTGCTACAGCGATTGCATCAATTCGGTATCGGCATTCAGTAAATTTAAAGACACTCTTATACATATAAACACGCCACTGATAAAGAGGAGGAGGAAAACGATTTTCATTAATTTTAGTGTTTTTTGAAAAATATTACTTTGTCTAAAAAATTTGATATTTTTAATTGAACATTTTCTCTCTCTCATATATTGTTATAGAGTGATTTCACAGTGGAGGCTTGTGGTTGTACTAAGTCGGCCTTAAAATAGGTTCGACGTACAAAACGTTAGGAACTTCATATAATAGGTAATGACGCAGAGAAATCTAGTTGTGGTGGCTGATACTTTAGTATCTGACTAACGGTCGTCCGACATCGACTGACTGACCAACTCACTGAGCGACTTCGCGACTGACTCGTTACTATTTCTACTACTACTTATTATAGGTGGGAGAGTCTATTAACTATAGAATAGGTGTGTTCCACTATAACACACACACACACACACACACACACACACACACACACACACACACACACATATATATATATGTGTGTGTGTGTTTGTGTTACATGAAAACGTTAGGATTTTCTCTTGTGTAGCCAGTTGATCAGGTTTAGCCTCCCCGATTTCCCGTAAAAAGATAAAGTGGTGTGTTGCAGTTTACATGCCCATTTAGTCTCTCAGAGAATGAACCATTTAGCATCCCATCCTCAGACATCACTGGTCACCACGCAGCAAGTGGTCCCTTCGGGGGGGGGGATCATACTTCTCAGTCAGCTTATTCTTAGGCCCTGCTGACAGGTCAGAATGTCATTGCAAAGAATTGTTTCTAAAGGAAGCGTTTAATACTGTATTTCCATAAACAGAACAGTCGACTACATTAATAAATATTCGGTAACGTATTTCATAAGCAGCTTTATAACTGCAAAATGCATAAAACCTCAGAAAAATGAAGATAAAGTAGAAGATTCCGAAGTACAGATATTTATATTATGGAGGTTTTCATATTTTATAGACATAGAAGAAAACATAACGAAAATAAAAGACTGTGGACGAAGAGGGCTCATCTTTCAAGTAAGGATGGCCGGCTTGCATAAAAATGGTAATCCCGGTTTTTAAAACCAGCGGCGTCCGAAATATTTCGCTTTCCATGCGGTCAACTGATAGATGGAATATTAGGGAAGTGTTTAAAACGGCTGAATCAGATTCGGTTAACTGAGACCTCAATATTTCTTGTCTGGAGCCTGAACAAAATATATAATGGTATAAATTATAATATTTACCAAATTAAGCTTTAGGGCACGAAGTATGAGGCACGAAATAGAAAACGAACTCACAGAAGGTAACTAATCGACAAAAAGTATAGAATTGCTCTATATTCGGTGTCCATGATTCTGTTGAATGTATTTTAAAACCCTTCGGCTTCGATATTTTAAATTCATTAATTATTTCTAATCTGAAATTATTTTTTTTATATTTTTAATTTCACAGGCGCTGAAATTTCGTCAATAGAAAACAGAACTTATGCCTCCATCATTATTCAAATGTATTTGACCGTCGGATACTTTATTCTTAGCCTATTGACCTATTACATACGAAATTGGACACTGATCGTTCTATTGGTTTCTCTACCCATAATACCGACTGGATTAATTTACCTTTGGTAAGATTTTGTTGACGGCGGTTCTTGCTTTCTAAACAATTTGTTTGTGCGTTTCTACGAAATGTTTCTTTTTATGAGTAGTGAATTAAGATCAAGGAATATCTATCAGACATTTCAAATATAAAAAAAATATCATTCGCCTTGTGCAATGAATGTGATTCATAAACTACTGGAATTCGTAGATGATTGAATATGGGACAAATAATGGTTCTTAATAGTGTTTTGTTAAGATTCAATTCTTTTGCGCATATTTAATTTTATTAAGCTCATCTCAAGTGGTTTTGAAATAATTCCAAACCCAGCAAATATCATTGATTCAACAATCGAGAGCTTCACTAAAAGTGAGTGTCTAGCTTTTTCAGATGGAAAGCCCAATAAGTTTGATTCTTAGTAATTCATTTTTGTGACAATTTGTAAATTATACACATAGAAAATACAAATATACACATGAAAAAGCATAAAGTAATATTAATGTTTTACCGCTAATAACTCCTACTTATTTTATTCTAAGAAACTTTATATTCAACATGGCTTCTTCTTTATGTAGGGTTTGATTTGGGTGCGTTTCAAAGGAGATCATAATTTCTCTTTCCCCTGTCAAAGTTTTTTTTTACTCTCATGCCAAAAGTATTTTAAAAATCCAGCTTTTATTTTTAGCATTTGTAAATTTATATTTTGAAAACATACCTAAACGTTTAATTTCTTATGGAATGTATCAGCATTATTTACACTATTTAACATGCAGGCTATTTTCCTCATCTTTTTTGTTGTTATCACAACGTTTCGGCCGTTGATCCCTCCGGTTTGAATATATTATTCAAATATATATTTTCCACACTGTAGAAAATCTAATTCTACCAAAATATTGTGAATGAAATAAACTCACTATATAATAATGCGGATTCCTCATTACAGTTTGTACAAATTGTATCGCTTAGCTTCCCCACCCCCAAATTCAGTTTTGCAGACTCGAAACTACATTACGAGGCAGCCAATGAGATAAATTTTCCTATCTGTGATGAACTATGAAAGGTTGAAAGATGAAACTATTGCGAGGGTACAATGAAAGAAGTTGTAACTACTCTCCAACGAATAAACTAGGAGACAGCAAGCCAGTTCTTTTTATACATCGCCCGTAGCACTTAGCTTGAGAGAGTACAGAAGATGGTAAAATTCCCCTTATTTTCCCGCAGCGGTTACTTCCTACTCATAATACAGTCTTAGCCTTGGTGGGGGTTACGAAACGTCCATGGAAAAGATGGCAGAGATTACCAATAATCCATCAACGTGGCTACAATATCTAGCCTAATGAATTTGCTGTCAGAACCTCTTTAGTATTAAAAGAGTTTAGAATCATGGTTAGATGAATAAGACCAAAAGAATGATAAAATTAACACTAACACGTGCAGCAAAAAAAAAATTCGGTCTTACACTCAGTCAAGAAAAAAGATGCAAAATACATTGTGTTAAGTTCACAGGATGTTTAAGGATATAGCTGGACACTGCATACCGCACTGTTCATTCAGGTCGACCGGAGGCGACTCATTGTGCCATAGTGAAAGAAGTCACTCGCCTATAATTTCTGTGATACCACACTACTGGCATACGTTTTCTTATGAAGAGTGACGCATACATTTCATCATTTACTACCACTAAAACAGAGAGGGAAAAGGGCCTCACACTCACACTTCATGCCATTAGCAAGCCTCTCATTCAAGCGTATATCTAGTCAGTCAGTTATGTGCCATGCGTAAACCACGCTTAGGCGATCATGTATCGAAAGATATATGACTGATGAGGTAGATTTTTCCCGTTTCTTTCTGCGGTAGACCAGTTACCATTCAAGGCTATAGAATCCAGTCTATCCTGCTATCTACCCACAACTTTAGGGAGAAGAAAAGATTCATACTTTTCCAAAGGGTATTAGCACGTAAGTGAATGTAATGGATTCGACTGGTATTCGAACTCGATTCCTCAATTCGAGCCGCTATCCACTACTCCACCGTGCTTATTCAACGTATATCCATAAGTGCCTATTTGTGAACATGTGCGTAAGAACCACACTATTATATATTATATTATCATTGCCACGACTGAACTCTATGCATATCAGGCCTCGGCGGTTGGTACCAGAACAATGGCGGCTAGGTAAATTTGAATTTAAATAAATGTAGAAACTTGAGATAATCTGCCCATCAAACAGTAAATGATGTTCTTTACTGAACCACTAATTCGATTATGATACTTTGTGCGCGTATAGCTATTATAGAGTACTCAGTAATGTTACGAAACCAGATCGTAACTTATCCCCCACTTACACGATATAAGCACTATTGTTCAAAGATAACTGTAATGATGATATTAACTATTTCATTATAAGGAAACATTCGGTATTCATTAACCGAACGGCCAGTATTAATGAAGAATGGAATTTATAAAATCTTTCACTTAAAACAATTCATTCTTATGACCATTGTTATCATTCATCCCAGTATTGATGGAGGTTTCTTTCCAAAGCTTTTTTTTTGAAGTAGTGTGTCATATCAACATCTTGATTATGTCATTATTTCCTCATTGCATCACATATACTAAACATTCATATGGTTGCGGCTTAAAGCCCTCAAGTTGTGTGGTTTCTGTCATTTGTCAAAGTTTCTTATTTGTGATTCTCTAGCCCTATTAATGAGGTTCGAAGAAGGATGTTCCTCTCTAATATCTACAGGGTTAATTTTCTCGAATCCATTTGAATCAATAATCTGAGAAATCGGTTACATGCAATTGTAATTCTACATATTTCTAAACATTTGAACGCCATGCATGAAATCCATATGAAAGTCTCGATCTGATGTGGCTATTTAAGTACATAGCTCAAGTTGAATGGTTAAGGTTTTGTTTTTTTTAGAATCATGCAGTGTAGGAAAAAAAAAACTGGCACTAGCGAAGACTATTCTATGTTCAATTTCCTTCTTTCCTACAATACATTTGTAGTGTTCAATAATCATTAATACTGGATTTTTATGAAGATCCAGTGTATGTTTTATCACTGGTTTCATTCTAATTCCAGATCATAGTTTCTGTTTTGGAAAGATTTATTTTGAGTTTTCTTAAATCACTTGATAGAGAAGGATATTCTTTATTCAGGATCATTCCTATCCCAACAATGAATACTGATGTTATTAGTATAATCTCCTTCATTATCCATACTCCCGCCTCGGGAGGGAAAACGACAACGCTATTTTCTATAACTAGATTCACTTCGGATTTTGTATGGAATGCTTACATGATCAATGCCTATCTCTTCATATTTAAGCAAGACTTGGTATCAGTCAGTTATGTGCCATGCGTAATACACGCTTAGGCGTTCATGTATCTTTCGATACATGATTGACGAGGTAGATTTTTTCCCGCAGTAGGTTGCCATTTTTCTGCGGTAGACCAATTGCCATTCAAAGCTATAGAACCCAGTCTGTCCTGCTATTTAGCCATAGCTGGGAGGAGAAGATGATTCTTACCTTTCCCAATGGTATTAGCACATAAGTGAATGTAATGGATTCCTCAATCCGAGCTGTTATCCATTAGCCCACCGAACGCATGGTATAGGGACATTAAATAAATCACGGCCCTCATTCCATTCTTATTGTATTCCTGATGAGGTTTGAAATGATTGGGTATTACATTTACTCAAATACTACTTTGTGAACCGATATAGTTCTGCTGTCAGATCTATACATTCAGTGACGTCAGAACTTGGAATATGGGAAGGGTAAGCGTCTATTGATGTGTTTCAATGCTGCTGTGAGGTCAACATAGCAAGTATACCATTTTCTATTGGATCGGTATCCGATTTCTCGGAGTTGTTTGATGACATCATTAGACCCCTACCAGAACAAAGCTTAGGTCATTAAGAGTTTAATTTTATAGAATGTGGAAAGCCTAGTTAATGCAATATCCATTAGTATTTTCGTCATAATGAATCCAATTCAGCCACCTCTGTACGCGTGAGGGTCTTGGAAACTAACACCTGTTTCCATAGTGCATAAATGCTTAATATAGGGATGAGCTTCTGGTGCTTTGGGATGAGCTTCTGGTTCAGGACTTACTTCATGAAACTGATTTTGGAAAGAGAGTATGGCGTTATCAAGTTTTCAAGTTCAGCCACAAGACATTATTATTCTTTATTTCATATAGATTGCTTGGCTTCCTCATCACGAGGATCGTTGCTGTTTACATTTGGAGACAGTTTGTATTGATCGGATGTATACTTGTATATGTTTTATATCTTCTGTATCCCCAGATTAATGCCGTTTTTGTAGTGTAACTCCAAGTATTTTGAGACGAGGACATTTCGTCTGTTTTGGTTTTGATTGCTTAAAGTTATCACGATTTGACTTTTTTTTCCACATTTCATCTCATAAACTTATAATATATTACAGCAAATGAAAAACCGAAAACCTTGTCACTAATAAAAATAACCTCATCAAATATAAACTAGCCAAGGCCAATATAATCTATCAATTTCACTATCAAGTACAAGACTATATCATGTATATCGGACATAATACAACCATCTTGATTGCACACCTCACGTGTCACTTATCTGATTCATGTGCTATAAAAAACATCTAGATATCCACTATTTAAAAAATCCCTTAACAAAGATCATAGTGGAAAACTCTAAAGTTCTATAGAAATTTAATTAACAGAAACATCTCGCCGTGAGAAAGGCTCTTTATATAAAATATCTCACTCCTACTATCAACCTTATCTTATTTAACAGTGAAAATGACGTGTTTATAGTAAAAAAAAATAGTAAGATGCTCACGTTCCATACAGGAAGCTCGAAATAAATGCTCTTACAGGTATTCAAAACAGCACAAAACATTGCATCTTAAACAGTCAAATATGAAGAGAAATTAACAACACCTAGAAAAAACTTGAAAATGACTAAGTGGCCGAATGTACTCGAAACAATGGACAATTTTAGCACTCCTTTAATCCAAGCGAAAACAATATAAGAATGCTGGGAAACGAAATGAAAATTAATATTCAACAAAAACTTGTTTAAAATAAAGGTTGTGGCCCCCATTATATATATATATATATATATATATATATATATATATATATATATATATATATATATATATATTTGATGTGAGTTTGTGATCCTGGGTTTCACGTCCTTGAGATCATCAAACTCCGACCCAGGGTCACAAACTCAATACAACTAAATATGTTGGTTCTATCACTGATTTTGAACACTTTCCAATAAGTACGGCACATATATAATATAGAAATAATATACATAAAAAGATTATATATATATATATATATATATATATATATATATATATAACCATCCTTTCATATTTACGAATATTTTTCCGTATATTACAATTAAATATACTGAAAATATTCGTGAATATGAAAGGATTCTGATAAAAATAAGCAAACATGTTTGTAATTATTTAATCAGATATGCCTGAAAGATTTTTTATGTCTAAATACATATGCGCGAACACACACACACACACACACACACACACACACACACACACACACACACACATATATATATATATATATATATATATATATATATATATATATATATATAAGAAATAAGTTATTCTAAAAATTTCGCTTGAAGACGGAACAGATCTTAGTACTTTAATTCAATTTAATTCAAATAATTATATTGAAGTTTTCGGCTCTTGTTTTGAAACATGAGAACTCTTATGTAGCGTGTTGGAATCATATTTTTAAATAAATAATGATATTTATGCTCTACTTTTGTATCGAGCACTATTTTTTAAAAATAATAACAAAAATACTAAAGAACTTTGGATTATTTACCTTACGAGTTCTTTCCTATTTTCTATATATTTCATATATATATATATATATATATATATATATATATATATATATGTGTGTGTGTGTGTGTGTGTTTCATTGAAAGTGAGAGACAAAGAAAATTTCATACCTTTCTAGTAGAGTTGTCTAATGTTCTTACAATTTTCTTTTGGTAGCGAGCTAACAGCATGTAGAAACTGTTCGCAGTTATTACTGTTTTAAACGCTTTAAACCAATTAATTAACCAATTTTCAAAGAGTTTCTGTAGGAATGAAGCGCTTGTGATAATAATGATTAGCAACAGTTTCTGCACTCATTTAGCGCCTCCACTGCTAAAGGAAAATATAAGAACATTTACAAAACTTACTAAAAACCTAAAAGTTTGGCCCTGTCTGTCACATTCAATGAAACATGTATGAAAGAAGGCTTGCTTCCCAAATACATATATGAATTAAATGAATATTTTGTATTGCAAAATGTTTGGGTGCTCTTGTTTCGTATAGAAAATGTTTAACTATAGTTTACAATAAATTTATTTCGGTTATTCTAGGCCATTCTTTTGTCTTTGGAATGTGTTAATTACAAATGCCTATAGCAGGCCTTGGAGAGTATAAAAGACTAGGTTGTTTTCTCCTTTTAACTAATTATCCCATCATCTCGTACTAACTTTTAGAATTACTTGGCTCCGGGCTAAGTAACAGTTTAACTCTCTGCTTTCGAGCGGAGAGGAACCCTTCAAAGAGGGAATATTTTTTGCCGAGAACACGGGCTCGGAAATCCCACGTTAAACCCGGCCTTGTGCCATATGTAACCCTTTTGGGGGGGGGTAGTTAAATATAACTTTTAGAATTACAAAGAGGTTCGTTGAAATAGTTTAAAATCTAATTCCGTTATTGTTATTCTTTTCAGGGTTTTACCAGAGTCACCACGTTGGCTACTAACTGTGAAAAAGGAAAAGGAAGCAGAAATCATTTTGAATAAAATGGCTAAAGTTAGCAATCGCAATTTCAGTTACAAATCAGACGAAATAGAAATATCGGTGGTCGAAGATCGAACTGTCAGGATCTGGAAAATTTTTACGATTCCAAAACTTCGAAAAAGAACACTCATCTTGATGTTTAACTGGTGAGAATGTTCTTGTTTTTCTTTATAATCTTAGAACATTGTCATAGATTCATGCATAATTTGGAGATCGTATTTATTATTTTGGTGATGAAGGAAAACGGAATAAAAACACCTCGAAAATTATACATGTTAGCGATATCAGGTAGAAAACAATCGCTGTTGATGTGCATATTCTCACTAATGCCAAGAAAAAAATTCCATGTAAAAAGGTGGAGAACGGATGGAGATTTGGAGTCATTATTTAATCATTATGTTCAATGTTACTTTCAGTTTGAGTCTGGTTTATTATATTTTCCATTTAAAGTATAACTGCCAGATTTTTAAATTAAATTTATTGAAAAGTAGGTGTCTTCAGCTATCTTGTTTGAAACATAAGATTTCAGTCGATATATTTTATAGTTTCCGTTATGTAAAAGTTAAATGAAACTTACCACTCTGGTATTGGAGGGATCAAAATGTGAACAACAGATTTTCAAAAACAACTTTCACTTGTTTTAAACCAGGTAGGATTTCGTGAAGGTCTCTGAAGAGCATGCAATTAATGACACAGATAAGTATGTTGCTTTGGTATTTGTTTCAAGAGAAGATGGTTTCCTTATGGAATACAATTTACAAGAATTCTGGCTTGTAGAATTAACATTTCATTCCTTTCTATGTTTCAGTTTATGTCAAATGAAGTGGATCAATGGCTGATAAACATAATGCAATGCATTCATCAATATGAATTAGAATTTTTGCTTATCATTTTCTTAACTATATTCATAGGTTTGTGGTGAGTTTTGTGTATTATGGGATGGTGCTACATACTGGACATCTGAGTGGTAACATCTTCCTGAATTTCTTCTTTGGTGCACTCGTGGAAATCCCTGCGTATCTCATGTGTATCTTTTTATTGGACTGTCTCGGTAGGAAGAAATTGTACATTGCCTTTATGGTTATTGGAGGAATCTCCGGAATCGCAACAATTTTTTCATTGATGTATACTTCTGATGGTAAGAGAAAAACTAAGTAATGCTAAATAATATAACGTACTAAAATATATACTTTTTCAAAGTTAAATAATATAACCCAATACAAAACAATTAACACCAACCCACACAAAGACGAAAACAAAGACACACATACACGAAAATACAAATATACGTGCAAAAGAATGCGTGTGCGTGTGTGCATGCATGCGTAAGTACGTGTGCATACACAGACGCGCGTATAGACATACACTTGCACAAAAAGAAAATAATTAACATCACGAAAAAATAACTGTTTTTCACATAATCAAACACAAACATAAAGCATTAAATAAAGTTAAAACACTAAATAAAGTTAAATAATACAACCAAAAAAAATATTAAATTCAAATAATACAACCCATAAAAAATATATACATTTAGCACAAACACGAAAACACAAACTAAAATACACAATACAGATAACACGAACAGATAAACGCAAATATACAGATAGGCGCTATTAAAATATAAGTCATGGTCCAGATACACAATGAATAACACAACTGTCCAACGAACAGAATTAATAATATTTGCAATAGAAAGAAAGAGAGGCAAAAATTCAATGGTAAGCAAGCAAGGCAAATAATAAAAGTAAATTCAGAGGTAAGAAAACAAAAATGTTTACGAACCACGAATTAGCGTCTATGCAGAAAAGCGAGGTCAGACAACTTAACCCAATGATCTTCCATATAGGCAAGGTAGATCTGGACGAAGTCAAGTGAAGTTTTAAATGGACCTATTTTATTGACTAAAAAAAAATTTGGGGATTTTGCCTATAAAAAAATTTGTGGATTTTTGCCTATAAAATGGGAGTGGGGGAAAACCTTTTCAGTTTTTCGACAAAGATTGGAAATCAATAGGTACATATTCACGAATGCACAAACAGGCGGGTGCATGGGTGCGTGCTTGTGTGTATGCGTGAGTTGATGTGTACGAGAAAGAAAAGAGAAGAAATTCAAAGAGAAAAATAGAGAGAAAAAAAAAGAAGAAATGCAAAGAGAAGAAAAGAGAAAGTAAAGAGAAAGAGAAATTATAAAATCAAACACCAGAGTGAAAAAATGAAATAGATAACACACAAATACCAAGAGAAACGAGAAACAGCGGCATATTAATTCCGACGAGTGATTGGAGGCATACAGCCATGAAGATGAGTTAATGAAAAAAACTTTCTTCCATATTAATTATATATATATATATATATATATATATATATATATATATATATATATATATACTTACAATAACTGGAGAAAGAGCCTATGAACTCTAAATAAGAATGGTGAAGCCGTGCCGTTGCTTTGGACATCTCTCACGCCTTCGATAAGATTTCCTATACAGTGTCAATGCTCTTTTGTTTTTGCTCTTTAGGAAAGTTTCTTTCTTATAATTCTTCCACGCTCAGTAACCGTGTCCATGTGGCTCTACTGCCTTGCTTGGGGTGAAATCGATAACCACCCCCATATATATATATATATATATATATATATATATATATATATATATGTGCGTGTGTGTGTATGTATCGTCAAGGAAAATTTTGTAATTTTTTTATTGGGTTTTTGTCATTTTCTTTGTATGGAAACTGTCCATAGCAATCACTGTCCCAAGTGTTTTTGGTCAATTTTTTAGCACATTCCTAGGAATTTGTTGTTAGTGTGTTTTCCTGTGTTGTGTTCAAAGTTGTATTGCATAAAAGTAGTAGTTATTCTAAGCAATTGTAGATGGCAAGTTTGACATTTAGCTTAAAACATTTTATATGAAGTGCTTCATTTGTCTCAAGACATCTTTTACAATAACATGTTCTTAGAATGGACGTTTTATCTACTATAATTTTTATTATGGGAGCAGGCATTTGTGTATGGATGCTTAAGTGCTTCTTTATCCCACCTGAGATCGCTTAAGAGATTTGGCACTAGTTGACACTCCCGATTAGTGATGTTATTTTGTTTATTACGAGTCGTTCTCGCTCTTGTATGAGGCGGCGAAATTGATAAATTACATTGTTAGTCTGGAATTAGGATATGACATGCATGTTGTTATTGGCTATTATGTTGTTGGAAGTTTTAATTTTCACGTTTTAAACTTTGCGCATTTGCACCGGGCGATGACTGAAATATATTGTTTAATGATGTGTCGCATAGCGAATTCACCTTGTTCATAATTATGTGCAGTTGGTTACAATAAAATTAATAAGAGCAATGACAAAATTCTAGAAACGATGACTGCAAAAATAAAAATTATACTTAACAAGAGGAAGTAGAACTTCGGGGGCACATACAGTAATGCCTTTACCTCAAGCAATATCATGCTTTTCGGCTTTTCATATGTTTTTTTTTAATAATTTCTCGCTTTACCTCAAGCAATATCATGCTTTTCGGTTTTCCACCACTGCTCTTTACACTTTCTTTGTCAGTAAAGGAATTTTGCACAACAACGGCAAAAATACACAACACAACATAGATCCTTCCACATTGAGGTGGACACTTGACGTTTGGATGCTTAATTTAAACTCTTTCGTATCTCAAAATTCATCTCGTATTTCAAAAGAAAAAAATCGGCCGAACTCCGGCCCCATATCTCTTAAAGCTCGTATGTCGATACGCTCGCATGTCAAGGCATTACTGTAAGGAGGAAAGGGAGCTTTGTAAATTTGATATTAACACGTCAGATCGAATGTAGGGAGGGATAAAGAAAAAACAACACAAAACGTACTTGGCGAGTTTGAGTATATGGATGGCGGAACAGGGTTTGTGATTGATCGAAAATGGACAAAAGTTATTAACATCTACAAAGGAGAGGAAATTGTGGAGAGCCATCGTCTCCAACGTCCTGAAGGTGCCTGGATCATAGACCATAATTTCCTCAGCATACTTCTGTAGAACCACATTTCTGTTGTCTCATGTCTCGTTTTCATCTGTGATGGCATTGTCCAGCATTCATTACCATATAGGAGGAACGATATTTCATAACACTTATGAACTATCTAATTTTTTCTAACGACATTCTTAATACTTTGCTTAGCTTTTAGAAGCTATCTTTCGCTATCGCTGTACTAAGTCGGATTATTGTGTCATATCACTTATCCTCCTTTAAAACGTTCCCTAGATATTCAAATTTTGTACTTGTTTGATTCTGGTATGTCCAATTTGTAAGTAGCATGTTGGACTGTTTCTTTTTGCTGACCACTATACATTCTGTTTTCTTACAATAGTTGTTTAGTCCATTCGTTTAGCTTTCTTTTACCAACTTATGTAGGAATTCCTGTGTTTTCCTTTCCGTGTTTGCTATCAACACTGTGCTATTTGCATATTTAATGTTGTTAAGAAGGTGACCGTAAATAATGAATTCTTGTTGGAATAGTTTTTTGTCTACAATTTTCTTCGCTATATTTCGAGAGAGTTCTCAGAAACGTGCCACTACGAATGCACAACACGTATTTTCAAATTTTTAATGTGTTTTTATTTTATTTTCTAATTCAGATTTTAAATGGAATATAACAACATTGGCTCTCTTAAGCAGACTGTGTATTACTGGCACTTACGTTATTATCTACCTACACACTTGTGAATTGTACCCTACCTGTGTGAGAAATGGAGCACTGGGATATCTCTCTACTTTTGCTACATTGGGTGGTACGACATCGCCTTACATAATAATGACAGTACGTAATTTTAATAAATTATATGATCGCTGGCATAGTTGGTATATGGGACAGATGTGCATATCTTATATTGGAATTCAGTAATTCTTTGAATTTTCTATTTGATGAATTCATCAGCTCTTCAAATAATTTTGGCTACTCATTCCGACACTGATTTCAACATTAATTTCTGTTCTTTGTAGAATTTTTTTAAATTCACTTCGAAATAAGTAAAACCTTTTTCGCAAATATTTAAACACCCATTTAGTAGAAAAAAACTGTTTGCAGTATTAATCTTGATTAAAAATTGTTAAATTTTAAATGTAAATAAAACAAATCTGTTTAATTCTAAACGTAATTAAGTCAAATCTGTAAAACTTTCCACATAATTAGATAAATATGATAAATCTAACCAAAAATAATTGCTTACTTTTCAAATTAAAAGTTGTCGGATTTCCTTAAATTTCTTTCTTTCTTTTTTTTTTTTTACTCTCCAGTCAATCATCTTCATTTTTCTGTGCCCTAACTGCAACAAATTTTTTTTCTATATTTACCAATCTTGGAATAAAAATATCGTTCTAAGTTTCTAATTAGGTAACATATTAACTGTCAGTATATGTCGGATATGTAATGACACTTAAAAATAAAAGAAAATGTAAAGGGCAACATTTTCATGTTATTATAATGAAGAAATTATCATTTAAAGTAACTTAATTTCTTCTTTCTCCTGTTTACGCAAGCGTACTTTTGCCACTGGAAGTTTGGGTGACAGTTTACCCCTACTGTCGATGGGATTTGCCTGCATTTTAGCTGGTGCATCTTATGTCTTCCTTCCTGAAACCAACAACAGACCCATAGCGGACAACTTTGATGATGTCTAGAAGTAAAATTCTAAGGCGATAAGGTGACTTTTTTTTATTATTAATTTATAAGATAAGAGACTAAAGAAATAATCCGAGGAACAATTTCAAATTTTGAATGTTTACCGTTGGGAAAAGCAGAAATCATCTACATTACGATGATTACGATGGCTGACATAATTTAACTGAGATGAGTGAAAACATGGAGAAGCCAGACTCAAAATAAACAACTTTCCCAGGCAACAGTAACAAAAGTGTTTACCAACACAGACAACATTGCCGTGCGTATTTAAAAAATATTGAGTGAAGATATAGACAGAAATTATAAATACTATAAATTATAATTATTATAAAGAGAATATTAAATTTACTCGATTAACATTATGCTTTATCTGTCAGCTATGAATCTATGTCGCAATTGTTTCTATCATTACCGTAAATATTGACAGATTTCATAAGTTTTAGAAAGAGGGACGTTGTACATTTGTTTAAATAACATCTGATTAGATATTTTTGAAAGATAAAATATTTACAAAGATTTTAATGATACTAATTTATAATTTGTTCTTCTTCAGGGAAATAGATGAATATCAATTCGAAGCACAAACCGATTTGAATCACCCCACATGAAGAATTTAAAAAGAAATTTGTCATTGGAATATCATGCCTTCGATGACGTATCGCAAATAGTATTAAAAGTACAAAATCAGAAAAAAGTGAAAAGTACAAAAATTGATTTGAAATGTAAATAATAGCAATATAAAACTAAAAACAAAGTTATGAGCAAACAGTTGTAATATTTGCCATCGTCTGTAAGCGTGCAGGAAATTCCATGGGCTTCAGCTTAATCAGCATTGCCATACACATTAGAGTACATCAAAGAACCATTTAATTAAATTAGCACGCATCATTTATTTCACTAATATGATCCCTGTATTTGATGATCAGCAAAGGTTCTGGAATATTTGCTTCCAGCTGTGAAGAAAACATAAAAACACCTGATGCATTGATTGGATTTACTTTTTATTCTTGGTCAAAATTTAATTTATTTCGTTTTTGAAAAACGAGCTGCAAAGATTACCTTAATGGCAGGCATTACTCACAGTGGTGATATTAGTTATTTCTTTTATAGGATCCTGTCTCTATGTCCGTGACCACAGCGCCAAAAAAACAGAAAAAAAGTTAAACCCTAAACTACTCAACAGGATCAATAGCTTAAATAGCGAAACGCACCAGACACTTTACATACTAAAATCTTCTATGAAACCAAAAATTCAATAAATATATTAAAGAGGAGTGACAGAACCTATGGAACATAGAGGAATAAAAGCAATAAAATTTTAAGAATTAAACCAACTATTAGAGAATGGCATCAGAAACACCAACCTAGAAGTGATTATGTCCAGTGTCCATACTACCATAAACCATTTGTATGAACTAAAAAGGGTGATCCTTTGGTTTGTGTGGCATACCAAGTGCCATTCACCATAAAACACGCGTCCTGGGTGTGATGATAAACTACATCCGCGTCCTGGGTAAGCTGATAAACTACGTCCAACAGCAAGGCCTCTGATTAGGAGGTTTTGAGGGGCGTGGAACCACCTCTTAATTGCTTGTGTTTCCAGGTCCACGCTGACCCGGGGTGGTGGCACCTGTTAGAGCACCAATTATGGGTAAATATTTAACCTCCCAAACTGGGGTCAAACAACATGAAAGTATAAAAATGGGTCGTAATACCAGAAATACTCTGTAAAAATTATTACCAGCAATAAAATTTTGAAGAACAATTACCAGCAATACATTTTTGAAAAAAAATATTACCAGCAATGCATATTTGAAAAAAATATATTACCAGCAATATCTTGTCGGGATTAAATAACCCGTTGAGGTTGATATGCCGTAAACAAACTAAAACAAACCATGAACAAGATACTTAAAAGACCTTTTTCAAAATTCTGATTCATTTTGCATTATTTCAGTTCATAAGAGAAATAAAACTGATTTTAAAAATATAATGAACAAATAACTATAAAAACAGCAGTCTATTTAAAATACATTTTTGACTGTTTAAACAGAAGACTTTATTTTAAAGACATTAAATTACAGCATTAAATGACCCAATAGTTTGATATTCCGTAAACATTAAATTAAGCTTGAAATTTTAAAATCTTTTCCTTAAAGAAAACATTTAGTGAAATATTTTTCTTAATTCCAGTAGCTGTTATCGCCTTTCGTCTTATTGATGGCGGTTGCCTTCCTAAGCTTTCATTTGAATTAGTGTACAACGTCAACATCTTGCTTATGTGATTATTTTTCTTCTTGTGCCAAGTTTCATTTTAGTTGTTGCTGCTGTTGAAGGTCCTCAAGTTATGTGGTTTCTGTGATTTGATACACATATTTGTTTGTGATTATGTAGCACCTACTCCACAAGGTTTGAAGAACGTCGCTTTTCGCCAAGAATCGCATATTACCTTTCTGTCATTCCTCTTATTATAAAACGATTTCCAAAATCAGTATAATACAATCGATTTAATTGGCTAGAAACATTAGAAATTTGAATCGATAAACTGCCTTCTTACCAAATGTTATTTGCTGACATGCCTAGTTGCATATTTGGAACACGTTAAAATTGAAGTCATATGAATATGAAACCTTTTAAAAATGCAACATTGAATTGGTTCCACATCGGCATAAATCTAGACAGGTATTCACCTGAAAGATACAGTTTTGCAATGAGATTGGTATTCATCAGTTGGTTCAGTGTAAATGCATGCAAAATTTTATGTGCTTATTAATAACACATGATTGCATCGCTGCAAATGAACTTTGATTTAGTTTTGCTTAACATCGTAAGAATAAAATTAAATAATACTAGTTCACTCTAATCTAAAAGATGTACGAAGAAATATATATATATATATATATATATATATATATATATATGCGTGGTACTTATTGGAAAACGTTCAATATCAGTGATAGAGCTAACACGTTTACTGACTTTTTCAAATGTCGAAAATTGAGATCAAGGCTTGCTATAAATACAGAAAATGAGAATTGAAATATTAAAATAAGGACATAATGAAATTGAATTCCTTTAAAAATTCATAGCCTTAATTTGACAGGAGATGGTCACGAGACCGGAAACACGTGGAGTAAATATATGAAGACTAAAATATAATATATACAATAAAACAAATCCACATTATAACCAAACACGTTCGCGGTTTCTCTCTTCTTTTAAAATACACATTTTTCTCTCTTTGGAACAATTATAACCTTTCCTTTCTATCTATCTATCTATCTATCTATATATCTATATATATATTAAAAGTGATAAAATAGCATAGAGTACACCCCAAACTCACCTCATATCAAGCAGGTAAGAGAGGAAAGAGTGATTTCGGATAAGAATGGTAAGATAACAGGTTAGAATTAAAAGTACAAGTGCAAGATACCTATGAAGACTTCCCGGTTCAGTAGATGACTTAAGTATTATCTGGAAAATTCACCCAGCGAAAAAAAATATTTCAATCTGAATATGTAAGTTGCCAAGATACAGAATGAATATCTTACCGCAATACGTAGCATATGTATATTGCCTTCTTCAAAACCTTCTCGAATGTTATAGAATCAGATCAATAATATCAAATTTTCAAAGTATGTTTGTATTAAATGTCAAATGAAGAGAAAAAACAAGACAATTGCCATAGAGCAATATTACTTAACAATTTTGATAAGGGACGCGAATAATTCTGAACTTCACTAATTTAAAGAAAAAAAATCTATAAAAATGAAAATAATGGAGCGAAATTTATAAAAAAAATTATTTAAAATTAAATACAGAATAAATTATCTATGGCATATTCAATAAGTAATTTGTTGGCCAAACTTATTAAGTGGGAAATTTACTTAAAAATCCGAACGAACATTTTTTTGCTACCCCCACATTTAAACGATGCCCCTGATTTCTCTTCTCTTATACATGCTTCGTAATGGTGTTTCTGTTTTCTAATTTTTCCGCGAGCACTAACCCTCTGTCTTTCAGTGTCTTTAATGCCTTGCTTGGGTTGAACATGATTAGAAAAATAATTGCAAATATTCACATTCACTTAAAAAATATCCAGTGGGTGCGAATGTTCTTGATACGAACTACACACACACACACGTGTGTGTGTGTGTGTGTGTGTGTGTGTGTGTGTGTGTGTGTGTGCGTATATAAAATAGCGCACTTTGAATGTTAGTGGTAATACAATTATTATTTTATAAAAACCAATTTGTATTTTTTGTATTTAATCGATTTTTCAGTGCTGTTCGATAAAAGTGACTCACATGATTTTTTTTTACTAAAGATATTTTTTGTCTATAGTTTTTGGGGTTAAAATAATTTTTAATCTTACTAATATAAAGAGCCCTTCCCGACCACCTAGGAAAAAAGTTTATTCATCTTAAGGTATTCTATTGATAATTATAAATTTGGATATAAATTAGATTCAGGAAAAAACTCTGTGCTAAAAAAGTGACTCAGATATCGCATTCTAATGATTAAATTGGTAAATTTAAAGAACTTTTGACAAAATATTGAAAACTATTTTACAATACACTCAGAACAATATTCTAGAGAATTCTAGAACAGCTTAAATTAAATCTAGAGTATTCCAGAAAGCCTCACACAGTATGAAAACAGCTTGAAATAGCCACTCAAGTCATTAACCAGATACAAACACGCATCAGAACCACTTAAGGCATCTATTATTGCCCTCTTAAAAGCAGGCAAGTCTACGAGAGAAATTGCAGAAATTACTATAACCTCGCAATCAACTGTCTCTCGTGTGCTTAGGGCACATAATGATGCCACTCCTGCTCCAAAGAAAGGAAACAAGGGAACAAAAAAAAAAAGAAGATTAATGATAGAACTGGCAAGGTAATCAAGAGAGAACTTGCGAAGAATAGGACTATAACTAGCCAAGAAATTGTAGCGAAGAGCAAGGTGTTAGTCTTGCCTCTTCAACAGTCCGTCAGAACAAAGTTACAAATCTTGTTAGAACAAGGCTACAAATCTTGTACATGAAGGTTTAAGCCGCTAATAGGCAAAGCCAACAAAGCCAAGACACTTGAATGGGCTCACTATTACAAGAATTTCACCGTAGAAGACTGGAAGAATGTTCTGTTCTCGGATGAAACGAAAGTTGAGCTAAATTCAAAGGATAAGGTGAGTCACTTTTATCGAACAGCTCTGTATATTTTCATAAGTAAATGCACTGTTTCACTATCTTAACAGGAGGTTATAAATATTAATATTTAAATTTTACGACGGTCAGTTTTCCATCCATGGCTGGCGATTGCTACGAGGTTGAAGCTCAGAGTTATTTCAAACGGTGAAGTACAAAATGTATATTGATTATTAGTAGAAATAGATGCACACACAACACTCATACAATACACACACGCACATACACATATATATGGGTTTCACGCTTTTGAGATCAACAGACAAACTGGTTTATTTTTTAAAAATGGATTTATTTCTGTTTATTTCTGTTTGGTTATGTTTGGTGGTGGGCGGGGGAGTTTCTTCTGTATTTGTTTGGAATGACACTCTCACATACATAGACACATATACATACACACATACAGGTGTACGCATTTTACATCACACAAACACATTCACATAAAGAATCCGAGAAACTTACACTTCATGACATGCTAAACATGTAGACGCGCACATGCAGTCCCATTTGGGTCCTGTTCGTGGACATGGTGATGTTGATGTTTGTTGACAAACAGCATTATTACCATTGACTGACGGCACAGGCGACCGATATGAAAAGCGTTAAAAACACACCCACCTGTTGCTTGATGAAAGAACACCGTTACATATATGAAAGCTACAGTCTCGATACCGAAATAAAATTAGAATTGCGCAAATATATATATGTATGCTCTAACGCATGGATGGGTAAATGCGCCTAACGTAACCCTGGTCACAAACCAATATCCATACAACCAAATATGGTAGATCTATCAGATATTGAGCACTTTCCACTAAGTACTGCGCTTATAAAATACATATATATATAATATTAAGAAGAAATATACTCTTAAGGTGTGCTATATTTATGGGATAAAGTGCTCAATATCAGAGATAGAGCGTGTGTAAATATAGAAGTGAACATTGAAGTCAACACTTAGAGGCGACAGGCTGTTTCATGCTAGACGCAATCGTCAGGCCACAAACAAACACCTGTCTTTTGACAGTGCTCTTATATATATATATATATATATATATATATATAAATATGAAGACAAAATGTCACTAAGGTTATTTTCCTTGAGATAGATCTTCACCTATTATTATGATTTTAAAAATAATGTATAAAATCAGCGATAATAAAAATTTTAACATTTAAAAAAAAGTAGTTTTTTTTAAATGTTATGTAATTTTATTTCGAAATATTTGTATGTGCTTACATTTTTTCAATAATACGGAATAGGTGAAGATCTATTCAAGGAAAACAACTCTTTAGTGACATTTTTGTCTTCATATATTTTAAAATACACAAGAGAAAGATACAGCCGAATCAGGGGACACAACTCCTTTATTACTATATATATATATATATATATATATATATATATATATATATATATATATATATATATATATATATGAGTGTGTGTGTATGACATGCCTGGGTATGCGTGTTGTGTAGACGAGTACGTGTAGATAGATGTACACATCCGTGCAAAAATGGATAAAGGACATTTAATTTTTTTCAGCCTGTAACTTGGAAAATGCCACCAATAACGCTAAAATATATACAATATGACACAATAGATTGATATTTTTTATACTAGTCTTGAACATCATTCGGTATTTAAATTTCTTACCTGTTCGTTTCGATTGTATAAAACTCCAGAGCAAGTTGCCGATGTTTGCGATAGTTTATAAATTTAATATTGTTTTTTTCATCCATGTTTTCGGGGATCTATCCAAATGACAAATAGATTTCATCTACAGGAAAACATTTCCATTATCTAGAGAGTGGGAAACATTCCACAGTATAGAATATATTGGCACTTTAATGCATGAATTCTTTAAGAAACTGTTGTGGTATACCCTCCTACAGTAGAAGGAATACTGCGAGATACGGTTGAGAGGAGAAGTAGACACAGTGCTAATCTACCATTCAGGCGTACACAGCTATCTACTTATTACTAACACTCTTGCTTTGCATATATTTTCAATATACTTGTTCAACCTACCTTCGTCTTCCGTATCTGTCTTTCTGGCCCCTAAACAGGTCACAATAGAAATAAATATGCTTGACAACCATGAAATATTTTATATTATTTTCCCTAAACTATGTACTAAGTCGTAGGTTGTATTTTTTGACGGGTATTGAGTACATAAAAAGAAAAATTGATTGCAAATCAACATGAACACACATTCGCTCAGAGTAACTCGTAACTTGACTGCCTTAAAGGGGAGATATAACCAGACAAACAAACATTTTTTGTGAATTTTATTAAATTATAACTTATATAACTGTATATCGCCACGGTACTTGAATAGCGAGGAGTATGGTTTGATAGAGCCTGGAGTAAAATGCAGGTAAAATAATATGAACATCTACTTTCAAGCCTTTTGAAATGTTATCCTTATTCATAGAAATTAAAGTAGTTATAATTATAGAATGAGTTTCTATTTCTGCTGCTGCTGATTACATGATAGCTGCAAACTGATTGGAAAGGCTACAAATACACCTATCCGATGAATACGACGTTTGTACTCATTGAATGAGGGAGTTATCGCCGCAAATATCATTTTTGTGATTTTTCAGGCAACGACGTGTCAAGAAAAACATGAAGTATGAAGAAGTTATAAAAGCCGTTGGTGGATGTGGACGTTACCAACTATTTATACTCAATTTATTGTATGTCGCCACGGTATTTGATGGGTTACAGGTTGGCAGTATGGTTTTCATTGTTCCTGGAATAAAGCACAGGTAAAATAATTTCTACTTTTTTCTTTATAAAAAAAATCTATTAGCTGTTCTCTTAAACCACTACACAAAGAAACATTGTTTGTCATTATATACATATATGTATGGAGAGATATACTGTAGTATATATGCATATATATATATATATATATATATATATATATATATATATATATATATTAACACACATATATATGTGTGTGTTTGTGTATCTGTGTGCGTAAAATATACATAGTATCCTGCTTATTGTGGTCATATTGAGACAGATTAATTTAGAGAGCAATGGTTCATTAACTACATTTATTAAAATAAATTCATTGTTACAAAAAGTTTTTCAAATTTACATAAATAATTTCCCCGAAAATTGTAATTAATTTAAATACAATCTGAGATTAACGAGTCCCTTTCTGTTTCTATCTGTCTCCCGCCTCTCGCTCTATCTCCACACACACACACACACACACACATATATATAAGACGAAATTCCGGAGAAAAAAAAAAACCAAAAAACTAGATTTATTTCGTCTTCGAGTTTTGATTTTAAAGGAAAAAAATTACAGCTTGATGATGAGAACATGAAGCTTCTGAAAGTACTTGCTGCTCTAAAAATACTCCAGATCCATCTGACAACATTTTATACATAAGGATCGCGTCATTCAGTGGGTTGTTAGTGGGTGCAAAACAAGCGGTTCAATATAAGGGAACTAACCAGAAATTGGTAGAAATGTCACTAAATATTTGTTATATGCACTTAAATACGTTTTCACTACACTCGTAATAAATTTTGTTGAGTATTAATTGTGATATTGAGTGCCTCGAGTACTGAGGTTTCTGTTTATTATTTTCATGGTTATGCTGTCTTAATATACATCCATATATATCTCGTTCAAGTTGGGGAGTGGCATCAAACGGGGTTGTATCATGCTTCAGCGACGGTTCGAATGTCTAACGGAAGCATGCGATTTCTTCGGGTTGACAATCTATCTATGGATGTGGAATTAACAAGCAGAACAGAAAAGGCCACATCTACATTCAAGAAACTTCGGGATCTAGTTGGATGGAGGGCTACTTGTTTTGCGGGGGAAAAAAGCTATGAAGCGAATAGAGTACAGCCCGAAGTAGAGGCTAGCAAAAAACGCAAATACTCTATGATGCATGACTCCAATGTATTCTACTACAGTGGGCGTTGTCAAAAACAGTAGGTTGCTTCTTTTAGCTATGAGCAGAGCTGTGTTTTAACTTATTTAACTTTAACTTATTTTCTGATGACGACAGTCGCCATCGAGGAAAATAACATTTTCAACTGTACGAAAACTTTTGACTTTTCCTATTTTAAATAATTCGCCTGTCAAATTTGTAGTATTTAACCTATTGTTCTTAAAATTGAGTTTTATATTCCTTCTTTTTGTGCTTACTAACATATAAAAACCTGGTATCATACAGGCATTAGATTCTGAGAATGGATAAAATTATAAAAATGTTCAAAATTGGTGGGTGTACGAATAATTTCGTCGTTGAATATATATATATATATATATATATAATTATTTATTCAAAATTTATAGCATAAACCTGTTAATGTTATAATTTTTGAATAAATAATATTTGCTCTACTCTGTATTGAGCACTCTTTTATGAATATCGTTTTTGGTTATTGGAAATTTATTCCATCTACACCGATCCTATATATATATATATATATATATATATATATATATATATATATATATATATATATATATATATATATACCCATTTTCGTTATTTTATATTTAGTTAAACAATAAGTTTCTCTTTTTATGTGTGAGTATATACGCGTGTGTTTACGTGTGTCAACTCTTGTACGTGTGCACATATGTAGAATGGTTTCTTTATATTGCTTCACAATTTCTTTGCATCTCTAATATATATATATATATATATATATATATATATATATATTAGAGATGAAAAAGCATAGTGAGGCAATATATAGAAACCATGTAGCATCCTCTATGAGATCGCTAAAAAGAGCATAGAAAGATGAAAAAGTCCCCAAACTTGACTAAAAGAAAATTTTATTGTCAAAATGTATATGTTTTTATTAAGAGGAAAGAACAAAGTATTTTTAAAAAATGTTTTTTCTTTTTCGAACATTCTAGCTTTTGATTAAAAAACCTTGTTTCTCTTTGTGCCAACGAAATTACTAAATAATTATAGCAAATTTTAGCGCAATTTTTTTGAAATGACAAACATTAATTTTGAAAATCTTACAAAAATAAAAATAATTGTCATATTTTAATCAACTTTTAGAAATTTTTCAGAAATAATAGAATTTATTATAAATATGTTTTCTTTTTTTAAAGTTATGGCAAAAATACTTTTTATATTTATTACTCCCATAACTAATTTTATGACAACTCTAGAAATTCAATACTGTACAATTTAGTGATTACATTAGTTAAAATAACAAGGCTTTCAGGAAAGTAAATCATGTTTCTTTATTTGTTTTTTTTTTTTTTTAAATCGGACCCCTTCTACCTTAAAATCGGCTCTGAATTGTAACATACAAAATTCAATAAAATAAAGATATTATTTAATTTTAAATGCATTTAGTTGTTTTTATGAATATGGATAATACTGCCTGAAAGCAAAAAACTTTTTCGATGAAAAATGAAGTTTTAAAACATTTATTTGTTATTACTTAAATTATTTTATTATTTTTACATTAAAGTTGTTAAATATTCTAAAATTAGTGAAAATGATGTACAGTTTAGTCAATAGTGTTATTAAATAGATCTTTATTTACAGATTAAAAATTTTAAAGCTGGCAATAATCACTCTATCCCCACTATGTAAAAAATCCAATTTCACATGGCTTTTTTTGTCCCGAAAACGGCTGTAATTCAAGTGTACGGAAGACCGGAAGTAGCATTAATAAAATAAAAACGTGACGTTATTGCTATTATAGTTTACAGCCTTTAATTTTTATGTTTTTTTATTTTTTGGAATTGTTCGGACCAAACATGTGTGGAGAAGTTTGATTTTTCAATTTTAACTGAGAAGGGTGCCTACAAGTATTAGGTATCTGTTTTATGAAATTTATATGATCTTATTTTTATATAATAAAATGAATGGAAATACAATACCATAAAATGTAATTAATGTCCATAAATTTATAGTATTTTATGTACACTTCTGATAAAATTTCATAAAAAAGGTACCTGTAACGAATTAGATACCTTTCTTATGAAATTTTATCTCACTCTCAACAGTCTTAATTTAATTATTTTTAATAATATATTTTCCATAAAGCATCGTAAAGGTGAAAGCTAAGTACCAAAAGAAAAAAAAAAACAATTAGAGAGCTGAAAATTTTCCTTAAAAATAACGAGATAATAAGTTGGTTCACTTAAAACTAAATAATTATATCACTTCTGTCCTATCGTATGATAAATTTCCTTCCGGTAAGATGTCAATATATGATGAAATCATCACTCGTCATTTGTCAATCGTCACCATTGTTAAAACCTGCTTTCACTTATTTTTATACTACATTTTTTGGGCCCAGAAAGTAAGTAATGTTTGTTTCAAAATATATTAAATAAACTTTATAATTTCTAATTTTCTTAAAATAAATTTTGAGAAAACTATAATTGATTTTTAGAAGATTTTTAAATGGAGAATTTCACTTTTGTTTATAAAGTGGGAAAAATATTCGACATGATCGATTTTTTTCTGTCAGTTTTGCTGACACAAAAAAACAAGATGTTTAACGAAAATTTCGAACGTGCTAGGAACGATAAAAAAATGTAAAAAAAATAATCAAAATACTTTCCTCTTAATAAGAACATAAACCTTTAGAAAATGAAAAAAATTCATCAAGTTTAAGACCCTTTTTTTCATGCATCTCTTTTTTAGCGGTCTCATGAAGGTACCTATATGCGTGTGTGTAGTTGGAGTCAGAATTATTCACACAGTCTCATAATTATGATTAAAATACTAATACCTTAAATTTTCATAGATATTTCGATTGAACTTTACGCAAATGATTAAATAATTGAAGAAGAGCAGTTATGTTAATAAAAGATTTATCATGGCCAAACAACAATACGGAAACATAAAAACGAACATTTAACATAATACAGAATTATTGGTCCTCTTGATTCAATTGTGCAACTTTTATTCTCGATTAATACACTTAATCGTTTTTTGATAGATCCTTACAATATCATTAGACATGTTGACAGGTAGTTTTCACCATTCTTTCATTGCAGTAACTCCTAGTTCCTACAAATTCAAAGGATTTTAGGTTCTTACTTTTTTCTTCAAATAGTTCCATACATTCCGTGGAAGACTCGGAAATTAGTGCACTTTCCATATATCTTATGGTCAGATACATTAAAAAGATCGACTTATGCATTGCGTGTGCTAATTTGTAAAATATCCCTTTTGTGTTCATATATTCTTTGAAATTATTTGAAGTCTCAATGACGTATTTCCTGTAACACTTATTCCATTCTATAGTTTAAACCCCTGCTTGCAGTTTAGATTGTTATTACCACATTTCACTTTTCTTAGCAAATGTATTTAAAAGAACTGGGATAAAAGCAAAAACGAATGCGTTGGAAAAGTTAAATAAAATCTGCTACGTGCGCTCAAAGCCAATAATTCTGTTAGATTGTTGATGGATCTGTGAGTGTTTTCCTTGCTGGTATCTTCAGTTGGATGTATGCCGAAACAAGATATCGTGCGTTTGGTTTGGTTTCATCTTCCAGCTAGCTAAATAGATATTGGTTGGATGCTCTTGAGAAAGCCAAGACCAAAGTTATTCTGAGAACTTGAAAGAGTCTTTCCTTGAAGAGGATTATGTTAATTTCATATCTGCTAAATTCTACCTTACGGACTCGGTACTTTTACTTCCGTAAAATATTTCGTCTAGTAAGAATTTTGTTCGATCACTTAAGTACCGACAAAGATTATCTATCCCCATCTATTTGATATAAGTCTATGTATATTGAAAATTAAGATACTTCAAAATATGTTCAGTAGTCATTCCCAGATTGAATATTGTCTCTGATTAACATCAACAACAAATTCTGAAAAGAAAACGCTAGTATATTTTACTGTTTTTGAGAAGTGTACACCGCGATGGGAAAAAGGTGCACCGTTCGCACTGAGAGCACTGTTCCAGAGTCTAGGTGATCTGGGGATCTTCTCAGGTGTCACAGGTTAGGATAAGCAACCGTCTATTGAGAAAGATTTCATTATATAATGTTTTAATCAGGGGATCGTTCACGATCGACAAACTCGATTTTTAGAACCTCCGTGTGAGTCTATATAAATATGTTGAGCATGCTGGTCAAGACATTGATCGAGAGATCACTGTTGGTCGATTGAGTCAAAATTACTACTGCTGGGGTTAGGAGTAACTTTGACGGTTATTGGCAGCATAAGGCCTCTATGGGAATGTGAAGGCTACAAAGCAACATAAAAAATATCGCAAGACATCTACTCTTCGAGCTCGAGCATAGTCTTATTTTTTTGTAATAAATAGAAAAAATGTGATCCACTGACAAAAATTAGGGAGGAGAATATGCTGGTCTACACAATTCTGATAGTAAATTTATAACATTTACTAATATGATCAATCTTCATGATTCCTTTCACCATAACGTCACAGTTATTCTGAAAATTTCATGCAACAATCATCAATAGTTCACATCTTTATCTCTGAAATTATAATACTCATATTTACAATTTCAGTTGGAAGGGGGAATAAAAATATATATTCATATCCAAAAACATTAAATGTATTCTTATTAAATTTTTAAGAATTTATTATTATTATTTCCTTTGATTTTTGGTGTGGACACATTTCTTTCTAGGTCCCGCCCAGAGACCTAAGGTTAGAAATGGCATCATGACATTTTCCACTGACCAATTAAAAAAACAAACTCCCCCCCCCCGCCACATATTTTATATAGATGAAGCCCTTCGTATAGTGTGGGCTGTAATCGTGAGAACAACTTTTTTTTTGTATTTCTTTAAGGCATGGGCTTCCAGGAATCCCTTCATTGAGTCTACTGGATTTTTTTTCCAACCAATCCGAGGGCTTCAACTACAACAGGGATTTTTGACGTTCCTATGAGCCACAAATTTGAGATTTCGATTTCAAGATCTTTGTATTTTGATATTATTATTATTATTATTATTATTAATTTAGTTTTTATTTTTCTCATGAAGGTGTGCTATTCCTGAACTGGCAAACGACACTTACGAAATCCAAAGCGAAGCCCATGATGAGCTTATTAAAGAATATATACCCGAAGATATAGTGGATGGGAAACCAGTGTACAGTAGCTGCCATCTTTATGTCAATAAAAGTGTCCTAGGGAACCAGACACTGAGTAATTGTACTTCTTGGGTTTATGACAAATCAATATTTCAAACAACGTTGACCAGTGATGTAAGTATATTTGGTATATATGTTTGTTTCTGAGAGCTGGAATCGCAATTAGACTCATAATCATCAAGATCTTTCAGTCTTTAACTTAATCTAAGATTACCATCCTCACTTGTCACCATCAAGACATATCGTTATGACCACTTGTTATTCGTTTTAATATTAATCATTGTGTTATGGGGACATACCTCCATGAACAAAATAGACTCGTCTTTATGACGATATTATGCCTCGCAAGAGGACTGTAGACAGTGTACGTTGACTACTCTACTTAGCTGTCAGACGGACGTGCAACACTTCTGTATTTGTTCTCTTTGTTAATAATACGTTTTACTGAATTGGTGAGTTCGAGTTTCTTTCGGAACTCTTCCGGGTCCACAACACTGGCGACGAGGATTTAAAGAACTCCACGGCAGAAATATAAAAAAAAAATTTTTGGTCCACAACACTGGCGGCAAAAATTCAAAGAACTCCACGAGAGAACTATAAAAGAAACAAAATTTGCTTACCAGTGTCTACAACGCTGGCGACTAGAATTTAACGAACTTCACGTGAAATCATAGAGAAAAAAAAAGAAAGAAAAAATTGGTAAGTTGATTTATTCTTCTTACTAACCAAAAGTGATTTCATTTTTTTTTTTTTTTTTCGCGCAAAGAAAAAGTTAATGTTCCTTGTTCTGGCATTGTCTTAACAAGAAAGAAAATTAATTTTGTTTCCAGCGCCGAAGTATAAACTTGACGTTTAGTAGTTGTCCAAAAATCTACTGTGTACGCGAATAACACATTTAAAGTGAGAAAAAAGGGATTTGTTTTTTTTTCTCTTCTTCTCTCCTCCGAGCAATACAAAGGCTTGGTACAAGTAAACTTACGTAGAAGCGTAATATTGAAAAGTAAAACATGGAAGAGTTTAAAAAGCTACTATGTTAGAACTAGTTAGACTCCAGTTTGAACAACAACGAAGAAACGAAGAAAAGCAATTAGAATTACAACGAAAAAACGACGAAAAACAACAACGAAGAAACGACGAAAAACAATTAGAATTACAACAAAAATACGAAGAACAACAGCGAGAACATGAAGAAGAGCAATTAAAATTACAGCGATAAATGATAGAACAGAAAAGGTTTGAAGAATTGCTTCTACAAACAGCGTCGAATAAGGGTCAAAATACCGAGAGCGAAACTACTTTTTCACAAAACGCAATTTGGATTGCAATTGACAATTTCATTTATTCGCCAGACGAAGATAAAACATTCGCTTCATATTTCAGAAGGTATGAGGATCTATTCGAAATAGATTGTGGAAAATGGACAGACGCTAAAAAGCTACGCTTACTGCTCCGGAAATTAGGGACTACTGAACATAGCAAATTCGTGGACTACATATTACCTCGAAAAACTAGTGATTTAACTTTCATTGAAGCTGTAAATATTCTTATAGAACTCTTCAGCCCTAAAACGACGTAATTTCACAAAAGGTGGAAATGCTTAAACCTAACCAAGAAAGACAGCGAAGACTACTTGACGTTCGCATCGGTAGTTAACAAACATTGTGACGATTTTAAATTAGCCGAACTTACCGCAGACAATTTAAAATGTCTAATATTCGTACAAGGACTTGCATCGTCGAAAAATGCAGAAATTAGAAGGAGAGTCCTAACCAGGTTAGAGGGAGAACCAAATTTAACCTTACAAAATATAGCCGAAGACTGCCAAAAATATATAAGTGTAAAAAATGATTCTAGAGACATTGAAGAGTCAGGTGTTGCACACATAAGAACAATACATCGAAAACCACATTTTTCCTCCCTTCAAAAACAAGTCAAACCAAAAAAGATTATTTTCACTCTCCTAAGAAAAAAGTCAACTCAATCAAAAACCGAAAAATTTACAGCCTAGTTCATGTTACCGTTGTGGAGCACTTCATTGGTTTAAAGATTGCCAATATCGGTTTAAAACCTGCCCAACTTGTAATAAAGTTGGGCACAAGAGTTCACATTGCAGAACAAATAAAGGAAGAAGAAGCCGGATTAGAACCACAAAAACAGACGAACTGGACGTCAAAAATATAAGAAAGTGTGTACAGGTAGAAATACTGAATAAAAAAGTCAGTTTACAGTTAGTCTCCGGGTCTGATTTATCAATAATCAACCTACATACTTGGAAAAGATTAAATAAACCAACCACGCTAAAAACCGACAAAATAGCTAGGTCGGTGACCTGTAAAAAATTAATTTTGTAGGTGACATTATCGCGAACGTTACTTTGAACGGAACAACCTAAAAATTAAAAATGTTCGTGTTAAAAAACACAGACAATCTATTTAGCACAGATTGCAGAATAATGTATACCTATGTTTTATAGATTATGCAAAAGCACTTGATAAAATACGTTACAAAGAACTGTTGGAATTGCTAGGTAATCTGCCCATACTTTAGGAGGATATTAGAATAATACAGAAATTTTACTTGGAGAAAAACACCTGTATACGAATAGAAAATGAATTATACAAAACTAGAAAGATTTGTATTCTCAGTGAACTTATTCAACCTATAAAGAGAGGCATTTCTGAAAGAAACAGAAGTCCTCTCAGGACTTATTAACGACAGACACATCTTAACAACATGATATGCAGTTGACTCGTTGTTCATAGCAGACACAGAAACGGAACTACAAGTACTCCTACAGATGTTAGAAAAGGAAAGCGAAAATAAAAAACTTAACATCAATTGCAAGAAGACAATGCATGCTTGTCAGCAAAATGAACAGGCAACATGCAAATTACAAATTGGATATACCAAAATTAAGCAAGCACAACATTGAAATATCTGAGAGGCGTTTTAACAAAAGATGGAAGGTACGACACCAAAATCCGAAGGCGCATTCGAAAAGAGAAAGATGACTAACAAATGCTAAGGAAAAAATTAAGAGAGAGGAAAATGTCACCAGAAACAAAGAAAAAGTGTTGAACTGTTATATAATATCAGTTCTCCTGTATAGCAATGAATGCTGACGATCGATCTGCTCGATGATGATAGAGATTTGAAACAATAGAAATATGGTACCACAGAAGGATGCTGACAATATTAAACATGTGAACATCAATGAAATTTTATAGAAAATGGAAACAAAATGATACTTATGCCGAAACAGGTGAAATATACATAATGAGGAAAGAAAGGCGGGAAAGTTTGACATTCGCATGACATATTGCAGGCAAGACGGGCAGAGGAAAACATCGCATAACTTACCTTTTGAAGAAGAAATTTAAAAACAACAGTAAATGGTAGATATATCAAAGCAATTAATACTTGGACAATCTCTTTGCTACGCTGTTCGAAAGCCTTTTTAGTTTGGAGTAACTGGATTTGGATTAATAGAAGTTCTCATGAATTCTGACAGCTCCACGAAAACCGGATCGGAATCTGGAAGTTAAGATGTCGTGCTGTATTTTCTTTTTGCACGTGTGGAATATTCCGAGGAATTTAGTTGAAATGATATTCTCTGCTTTAAGGACACTTTCTCTTATCAATTTCCTTTGACGTTTTGAAATTTGCATTGGGTTTGTGTTTTTTGATCTGTGACGTCAGGTTTATTAGAGATTAATTGAAAGTTCTAATTGTTGTGACCTTGTGGCACGGACGTTAGAAAAATTGAGACGAAATGGTGAATAGTTTTGTCCGATAATGTTTGTTCTGGTACAAACATGTTGAAACATTGTTTGTCACTGACTTGTGACAGGAGCATGTTTAAGGTCGGTTGTTTTATCGTGTTCTAAATCAGGTCAGCAAATGTTGCTGTATGTACATATTAGAGGAGCTTCGATCATCAATAAATCCTGCGGGAACTACACTTTGACTATTTTGTACATATAAATGACGACTGCACGGAAATGGAATAAATTTCAACAAGGCGATATTTTATATTTGTTTTATATATATATATATATATATATATATATAACAAGAGGAAAAATAGACGACTACAAATCTAAAAGAGAAAACATAGCTACGAATTATTTTGTGGGTGATACGTGCGTGTGTATGTGAAAATGCTCAAATCCCTATGTCCTGGAAGGTCCCAGTTGGTTTTGTCGCTCCATGATTGCAAGAGGAATCATGGGGCGACAAAAGTGCGATAAGAGAAAAAAAAGTTCTCAACGGAGATTTTAAGTAAACGCTGCTAGCAATCAAAATGATGCAGCTGAAATTATTGAAGCACGTCATGAGGAAAGAATGCTTGGAAATTGAATATATCTCATGGCATAGTGAAAACAGTATAAGACTCGGTAGAGAAAGGACACAGAGGATTGCTAAAGGATTGGAATATACTTAGTCAAAAATGCCAGGAAATAAGGGAAAAAACATGATCACCCACACCTTGAAAAGCAATGGTACACAAAAGAATATTCCATATTTTCTAGATCCCCGTGCAAGTTCCTGATATTCAATTAATTACTCTCATCCATTTTTAATCTGTGTTTTGACGTCACAAGAATTGACTAATGCTTTTTTTTTCTTTATTCACGTTTATTACATAAGGTTTGAGGAGGCACAGTGGAGTAATGGATAGCGGCTTGGATTAAGGAATACGTGCTAATACCCTTGGGAAAGGTGTGAATCCTCTTCTCCCTCCAGCTATGGGTAAATACCAGGACAGACTGGGTTCTATAGACTTGGATGGCAACAGGTTTAGAAGGACAACTCTGAATTCAAACCCGGAGTGGAGCCCCTAAGGCGGATGGACGGCACTTTGTTTAGTTTATCCTCTCCTTTGGACTCTACTAGCTAGGCCGAGAGGGGGGACTAGATGTCCGGGCACCCCTAGTTCTGCATATATCTCACTCAGGCTCGTAGCGCACCGCGCTACTCCATCGTCTCTTGAGACGGACGGATGCCGACGACCACGGCATAAGATTTGCTTACTTGGATTAATGATTGGTCCGAATATCAAAATCAGAGTATTTTGTAAATCTTTTATTTCTACGATAGTTTCGGATTTGCGGTGATAACAGTTGTTTATATGGTCGAAATTCTGTTGTTTGCATTGTTACTTGTATGTAATTGTTCTGTGTATGTTTATGTATTCTTTGTGTCAGTTTGCTACATTCATTGATTATGTGGTTTAACGTCTAAGCATTTTTTCTGCAAAGTCGGCATCGGTTTGCTACATTCACTGCACTATTGTTTTGGTAATTTTTTCCGCCTTCACTTAAATGTAGTTTATCCTGACATACCCGTTCTGGGCAGCAAAGAAAATAGATTCCATTTCTCTCTTCAGTGTAGATATGCACATAAGTTTCCGTTAGGAAAATACATTATTATTTTAAAAGCATCAATGTTTTATCGTCCCACTTTTTCCTTCCAATTGCTTTCTCTGCAGTCTAAATAATTTGCCTAATATAAAAATTATTTTTGAAATACTTCTGTTGCTTTTTATTTTTTCCTAGAATTCTTGTGCGCAATTATTTTCACATGGCCACAAAGTAAATAAGTAACGTATTTACTTTTTGGCCATGTGAAAATAATTTTTGATGTTGTTGACACTAAATACGACTTCATTTCTTCATGCAAAATCTCTCTTGTCATTGTACGTAGTCATGCTTTTCCTGGGCTGTTCCTTCATTGGTGTGATGTACTCTTTTTTTTCCAGTCAAGAAATGACACTGTGTATCTCAATACTGATGCTGTCCATGTGTTAATCTCTTTCATCATTTTTTTCACCTTTATCATTTAAATTTCAATAAAATTTCATTTTCTCATAAGCTTTTTTTTACTTTTCCCTTCTTTCCACACTCTTGATATTCGATTACTTCGAGACATTTAGACAAATCATGTATTATTAATGCCGTGAATGACATATTATCCAGTATGTCCATTTTACTTACTGCTGAAGACTATTATCTGTCCAATGCTAATATGAATCATTACTGTCAAATTCTTTTCCGTTTTACTTGCAGCAACTTTTATCTTTGGTGATCATCATTGAAAGTTTCTCAACAAAAATCATTTTTAACCCCTGTATATGTGGTGGTTATTTTTACCTCGAGTTGCAGAATCAGAAACAAGATATGGTATTAGTAATATCATAGTTATAAACACTAATTGTTGCGACAGAGATTATCTGAAAAAGAATGAGAAAACACATAAAATAAAAATAATAAAACCGCTTTTGTGATACTTGAAGTTTTCCACCAGCCGTCAATTTTTACTTTATCGATGGATTTAGTTATAAATTCTCAATATTGATTCATTAATCTTTAATATTTTGGAGCATTCCCGAATACAGTTATGGAAACTTTCTTACGTTTTTATTATCAATCCATCCAATTGCAAAATATTTATACCCGGTATCTTCTGTGCCATGAAGTTTCACATCAGATATATCAGGTTGTTGTCGATGAGGATTAAGAGAGAAGTTTCTTCAAATTACTATGACTATTATCGAAAACTTCAGCATATTGGCATTATCTCAATCACTCTAGGATTTATTATTTTACTTTTAATGATTTTTCTCATCATCAATATTTTTAATTTAATCCAATCAATAATGTTTAAAATTTAAATAAAACTTTCATTTGCACTTTTTAATTTGAATAATAATGTTTGAATATTTTATATTTGTCCTAGTTTAATTTGGTTTGTGGCAAGGAATGGCTGGCCCATCAAATTTTTACCGTATTTTTTGCTGGTTATTTGGTTGCAATGTTATCTTGTGGTTGGCTTTCTGATCGGTAAGTATACGTTAAAAATACGATATATTTCTTTTTATATATATATATATATATATATATATATATAATAAATTGTTATTATTACATGATTTAAATGATCACACACACACACACATATATATAAGCATATATATATATGTGTATGTATGCAATTGCATATTAAGATTTTTGTTTGTTTTTTTCTGTATATTTTTCTTCATATGTGTGTATATATATATATATAGAGAGAGAGAGAGAGAGAGAATTTTTTCTTTTTGGTAGATAGATTATATAAAAAACTGTTCAATTGTTCTTTTTTTCCTAGCGCTTTCGGCTATACATTTAGCGATTTTCAAGATTGAAATATATTAACTGTTAACAAGAAATAGATTGTTGTATCTATGTATTTTTATAATGTTTCATTTTCAAAACACGGCCAAGATATTGTGTCTATGTTTATAGTTGATATTACTGAGTGTTGTCTTTTTATCAATAAGACTTCCATTATTTTTAGTCTTTTTTTCATGTAGATGATTCTATTATATTTGTGTTGTCAACAAATATGTTACAAATGGGGTCTAGTAGGTCCCCATGAGTGTTTAAATGAGACCTAACTGAGTTATGATCAGAAAGATGTAGTGTGCGTCTTATTGGCAATATGTTGTAATATGGCCTATATAACTGTTGACGAATTTTGATTGATTAGGAATGCAATTTTGTAATGGAGATTTAAATTCGTAAATAATATTTGCCCTATTTCATTTTGTTCTAAGAGGTGAATTATTATTTTTAACTATAAGGTTAGAGGTTTTTTGTAATAAATAATTAATCTAATTTTTTGCTATTGACTACTCTTAATTCTAGTTTTTTATTGTTTCTAATATTCATTCATCTGATTTTTATAAAATATTAATGTTATTGTTGTAAGGTAGCAGCGAGACGACGTGTATCTGCCTCGATACTCGTTGCCGTAAATGTCTTGTTTAAGTAGCCCCTCTCGCCTCTCGTGTAAGCGGGCGAGTCTACTTCTATGGGGGTGTGACGCCAAGACCATTCTGGTCTTGTAACTGGGCGTCTTAGGTTCGATTCCACCTCTACACGCCCCCTCCCTTCCGGGGCCACAAGATACTCGCGTTGTGGTCCAATGTTTTGAGGCTCTGGAGTAGTCGTGCGACGTGCCCCACGTCTGTGGGGATAGGTTCCTGGGTGGTCGCGTCACCCTTCTGCTACGACGCACCGGTTGGTCTTCCTCAACCTCCATCATTCCAGGGGATGCTGTGTCATCTACCTCCATCGGTTCTGGTAGAGTGTCGATTGTTTCGGGCTGGTTTTGATCCATATCAGTGGTGGACCATTCTCCCGGTATTTCGGGCCCTGTTGGGTTGTCTATGGTATCCAACATTCCTGGGGGCACCTGAGGTATCGAGTGGCAAGGAGTATCTACTACTGGGTTTATTTTTCGGAGGAATCTGCGATTGCGACGGGTTACCCGGTTACTCCCATCCATGCGTACATTATACTGCCGGTTACCCAGTGTTTCCACCACCCTTCCTGTCTTTGCCCATCGGCGCGGGTATGGACCAACTTGGTTCTGTATCTGCACCGTTTCCCCGATTTTCAGTTCCTGAAGTGGGTGACTTTTTAGATTGTATTCTCTTTCATTCCTTAAGTGTCTTTTTGCCATCGCTGTTTCCCTATAATGACTGATTTCTCTCCAGCGTTTGTGGATTCGATATCGGTCCTGGAGCACTGGGAGATGGTCCTTTATCACGCGACCGTAGAGCATCATCGCTGGAGACATATGTAGGTCTCGTACCGGGGGTGTTGCGATGAGTCAGTAGGGACCTAGCTGCCTGGTCATGGCATAGGCGACCGCAACTGTCCGTGCTATCAACAAGTATCCTTTTAGCCGTTTTAACTGCTAGTTCTGCTCTCCCGTTGCTTTGAGGGTAATATGCCGATGATGTTCGTTTCCTTATGCCCCAATTATCTAGGAACCGGTTAAATTCACTGGAGTCAAACGGTGGTCCGCCATCGGTTGAAAGTTCCTCCGGTACGCCATACGTGCAGAACCAGTTTCGTAGGGCGTCACATGTAGCCTTGGCATTCCCGGACGACATCAGAGTGACTTCTACCCATCCGGTGTATCTATCTGCATATACTAGATAGTTCTTCCCTCGTAAATCGAAGAAGTCCGTCACAGTCTTCTGAAATGGGAACTCGGGGTTCGAGGGCGGCATTAGGGGTTCCTTGGGTTGTGATGGAGCTATTACGTTGCATACTTTGCACTGGGCCCGGGTTTGACGAATGCTCGCGTCCAGTCCTGGCCAAAACAGCCGCTGTCTAGCGTTTGCCAACATTCCATTGACGCCCTGATGCGCTGAATGGAGTGATTCCAGTACCTCCGCACGTAGCTTTCTGGGTATGAGGATTTTATTTTCCATTATCGTCACCCCTTCCAAGCAATATAACTCCTCTTTCATATGCCAAAACCGGCGAATTGTCTCCGGCAGTTCGTGCCGAGATTTAGGGAAGCCATTTTGTATGAATTCGGCGAGGGAACGGCATTCCTCGTCAGTAGCAGCTGCAGCCACAATCCTGTCCCATGTTATTGCTCTTAATTTAGGGTCCTGCTCATAGGTGGAGTTAAATGACGCTCTTATGGCGCTATCCATAGTTTGTGCGGTGTCCTCTTCGTTTGCTTCCTCCTGGCTTAACGCCACTGGGCATCTCGATGTACAGTCTGGTGCCGCATTGAGTTTGCCAGGGAGATGCTTTATTCGAAATTTGTACATCAAGGACCGTTCTTTGAAGTTAAACAGTCTTGGGTTCTTTATGTCCTCCAGAGCTTTGTCCGAGAAGATCTTCACCAGGGGCTTATGGTCCACGGTGACTAACAGCTCTGGGCACCCCAAAACGAACATCCGGCATGCTTCCAGTCCGTAGACTAATGCCAATGCTTCTCCTTCCACTGGTGCATATCGGGACTCTGCGTCATTAGTGAATCGGGAGCCGGCCAGGATTAACTTCCAGTGGTCCTCACCACACTTCGGTCCAGCTTCGGTGGCACAGTTGCAGTGCTTCTGGAAAAGAAAATATCCTAAGCCTGTTTTGCTGAAGTCCGTCGACAAACAAGTTGGCCTATTCACTTCGAAGGTTCTTACACCGTTCTCGATTTCTTCTGTGATCCTTCTTTTCGACTCTTCGAAGATTCGATCGAGTGTGCTGTCCCAGTAGAACTTCCGATTTTTTGTCTTTAGCAGCTCCCGGAACGGGGCCATTACCTCGGCCTGAGAAAAGCGTAGGCTACCTGGTTTACCATTCCAAACCAGGATCTTATGTCAGTTATATTTTTTGGTGTCGGGAAATTCCGTATTGTTTCAGTCATTTTTTGGTGGGTTTTATCCCGTCTTCTGTTATCAAGAATCCGGCAAATTCCACCTCTTTTTTTCCGCGAAGTGAAATTTCTGGGGGTTGAATACGATACCATTTTTGCTGCAGTTATTTATGTACTCTATAGTATGCCAAAATGATGATTCAATAGAGTTGTCCCATAGTATCGTATCGTCAATACATCTTGTTTTCCTGGGCATATCTACAGTAATATTGTCGAACCTGCGTGTATATGCGTCTCCTGACGCTTGGAATCCTTTGTGGTGCCCGAAGATAACGGTATCTACCCCATTCCGTGATGAAGGTAGTTGCATCTCTTGCCGATGGAGAGAGGGTTAGGCTATGATAGCCATTCCATGCATCCAAAACGGTTTTTCTAGTTTTCGCAGGCACCAGCGATGCCTGATTGAAAGGAGACGGTGTATGATGGGTTTCTCGTAGGGTAGCGGTGTTGAGCTTCTGTAGGTCCACCGTACGCCCTCGGTGACCCGTCCTTTTTTCGGTGCAACCACCATTCTGGAGCACCATGTTGTAGGTGTACCCACTGGTACAGGTTCTATGATGCCCAATGCCACGTCTCGGTCGAGGTCCTCCTTGACTCTTTTCTTCCAATGGTGTGGGACCGGGATTGGGGTGTGGACAGCTGAGGGTTTGGCCCCTGGATGAACGTGATGTCCATGGGTTTTCCTTCCATCGCCTGCAGCCGTTGATGTGGGCATACATTGAATGCACTGGACTCAAAATGCTCCTTCATCCATCGTTCCAATCGGGGTCTGTTTTCTTCCATAGGAGCGAAAGGGATCCTGTCCGGCTTAGGTGGGACATTAGTTCTTTGTGGGCACCCACATGGTGCCTTTCCGCCGTCGCTAGTTGCCACGTTCTGCTGGGAAGTTGGGTCTGGAAAGTTATCTGGCACCAGACCAAGGTCTTTTTAGGGCCGACTCGGACAGGCAGAAATCTGATGTATTTTTTGATACATATATAATCTGACGTGTTTCCCGCGATCCTACTCTGACTTTAGCGAATATCACGCCTTTTATGTTTAGTAGGTTATCCGTGATTCCCCGAATTCGGTGACTAGTCGGTACTAGACATTTGTCTGGACACTTCAGAATTTTTTGGATTTCTGGTCCGCTAGAGCATGTCTGTGCCCCAGTGTCTGCGATCGCCCTCGATCCGGTGAGTATGGAGGCCAGCTTGTCCTATGGATATGTGCCTGAATTCGCATGGGCCTCTGGAATCAGAGTTATCTCTACCATCAGGGTTGGTGCTGGATCAGGAGTACCTCTTCGAACTTACTTTTGTTCCAAACCAGGTGCGGCACGGCCTTTGGTTTTGTCAGGTTGATTTCACCTCTCCTTTTCACTTGTCCATCTTGGACGATCACCCGGTTATGACCCTTCTTGTGTCTTTGGGTGGTGTGAGTTCTGGATTCTGCTCCGACCACACCCGCTGTAGATTTGTTGCTGGACCCCTGCTTCGGTTTCCTGCAAACCCCTTTTAAATGTCCGGTTAAGCCGCAATTGTTACAAGTCATCTTTGCTGCTGGGCAACCCCTTCGTTCATTCGAGCCGTCAGGGTGTGAGCTCTTCCCACACCATTTACAGGATTCAGTGTCTCTCGGGGTT